ATTCACACACACGCACAGAGCTTCAGCCGCTCTCCATGCCCCCGACCAGTGCTGCCCAGTCCGGCCCCAGTCCAAGCCGTACTGGGAAGACTACCGTTCCAACACAGTTCCAGATCAAACGCTGGTCTCTCTCCCGTCCCTGGGTGTTTTGCCACCCTGAACACACACATAGCCAAACCACGGACACACACACACAGCCAAACCAACAACACACGAAGCAAAACCAACACATACACTCATTTGCCAGAAAAGGTCAAATTTGTGGTTGACGATATAGCCCTCTGGCCAACTCACTCACACACACACCCACCCACCCACCCCACACACACACACACACACACACACACACTTTCTCTCTCTCCTGTCATTGCAATTCATATCCAAGCTCTGTCTAAAGTTCACACACACACACACACACACACACACAGTCATTGCCCTGAAAGATGGCACCTCTGGCTCATAGACAATTGGGAGCGGGAATGTGCTGGGGAAGAGGAGACAGTTCTGGTAAAATAAACACACAAAAAAAACCGGGAGGGGACAAGGGAAACCCTGCCACCCCCCCAGTAGACCTTAGAGAACATTCCCCCAAAACCTAACAATTAAACACCCCACCCCACCCCCCTTTTTAAAAAAAAAATCTTTTTCCCTTTTGTCTCATTTCCCTCTCCCCCCCTTCAATCTCTCTCTCTCTCTTTCCCCTTTCCTTCCTTTCCTTTTTGTTTGTCTCCTTACCCCGGTAAGCTCGGGGCTTTTTAAAAAAAAAAAAGGGGGGGGGGGGGGGGGGGGGGGGGGGGAAAAAAAAAAAAAAAAAAAAAAAAGGGGGGGGGGGCCCCGAAAAAAAAAAAGGGGGGGAGGAAAGAAAAAAAAAGGGGACGAATATTTTTTGGGAAAGGAAGAGGTCCCCCCCAGTTCCCCCCCTTTTTTTATAACCCGCATGCCCCCCTTACTAACCCCTTTGGGGCCTCAAAAGCTTTTAGATTCCCCCCCACCGATCACACCCCCCCGAGGGCGCAACAAAACCGCGGGCCACCCCAAATTGCCCCAACCCAACCAACCCCCAACCACCACAAACCAAAAAACCCAAAAAAAGCACGGGGCCCCCAACCCAAAGGATCACTTTTTTTTATCCCGCATACGAAAAAACCCATTTTACCTAATATTTTCTCCCCTCGACATTCAAGCTTGGTGAATTTCCCAACAGAAAGCCATAGAGCTGACAGCAGCAACCCCCCTCCAGAAACACACTGTTTAAAAGGTTGAGAAGAGAGATGGGAAGGAAGGAAGAAGGGGAGAGGAAAGGGTGAGTTTTTTAAAAAGTTTTTTTGTTTTTTTATTTTTTTCCCCTCTCTTCTTTTCCCTCTTTCTCTCTCTAGTTCTCCGCTCCCTCTCCTCCTCTCCCTTCCCTCTTCTCCTCTTCCCCTCTCTCCTCCCCCCCTCCCTCCCCCCTCCCCCCCCCCCTTCCCCCTCCTCCCCCCCTCCCCCCCCCTCCTCCCTCCCCCCCTCTTTTCTTTTTTCTCCTCTTTCTCTCTCTCTCCCCCTCCTTCTCTCTCCTCTCCCCCTCCCCTTTCCCCTTCTCCCCTCTCCCCCCCCTCCCCCTTCCCAAAGTAACAAAAAGGGAAAAAACCTTTTATAGTTTGCACCAAGCCCACCCAAATTAAAACCCCCAAAATTTTTTTTTGTTTTGTTACTTTGAAAAATGTAAGTAATTTTACTTCCCTGTCATAAAATCTTTTGAATTAAATTAAATTGAGAGAAAAGAGAGAGAAAGAGAGACAGAAAGCGGGCCGAGACCGAAAGAAGAGAGAAGAAGAGGAGAACGGAGGAGATGAAAAAAAAAAAAATTTTTTTCCTTTTTTTTTTTTTTATTTTTTTGTATTTTTTTTTTAAAAATTTCCCCCTTTTTTTTTTTTATTTTTTTTTTTTTTTTCCTTCTTTTTTTAAATAACATTGAAAATTGGTACCTTTGTCACTCTAATCCTTAGACACTGGACAGTCTGTGCCAACTTTTGTAATAGACATGAACTACTGGGATCAGACACAGAGATGGATACCCCTGTACCAACTCTGGTATAAGTGACTAACGACAGACAGACACACATCGCTCAGGGAATGCTGATGGTGAACCTGGCTGGGAAGTAATCTGGCCCATGTCATAGGGACTGTTTCTACATCACTAGAGTCCTTTCTCCAAGGACACAGCTGTCAACTCAATCACACTTGAAAGGCTCAGTGGGGAGAAACCACTTGCTGCAGTGATTGAATCCTGACCTCTGACTTACTTTCTCCAATAAATAAAAACTGATTCGATTTTATTTGATGGAGGAGAGATCAAACATTTCATATTTCTATCACGACAGGTGTTAGAAGGCCTCCCCTTGCTGTTCTGGAGGTCCTAAACTGTCTGAGACCTTTTGAAGATTTGTCTAGACATACCCAAAGTAAACACAACCAATATGTCTTCCCAAGGCTTCTACAGGGGCATACGGCTAGGGTCCTTGAGTGGGTTTGGGACTGAGTGGACCTAGCTATAGTTGACTCTGGATTGGGCCTATTTTGTCTGAGACTTTTTAAAGCTTTCTTGAGACCTACTAATGAGCAAACCCAATGTCTTTTCTCAAGGCTTCCACAATGGCCCTACTATGGCTAGGGTTCTTGTTTTGGGTCTGTGGTCTGGGCCCAGCTATGGCTGACTCTGCTAAAGGAGACAGGGTCTGTGGTCCGGGCCCAGCTAATGCTGACTCTGCTAAAGGAGACAGGGTCTGTGGTCCGGGCCCAGCTATGGCTGACTCTGCTAAAGGAGACAGGGTCTGTGGTCCGGGCCCAGCTATGGCTGACTCTGCTAAAGGAGACAGGGTCTGTGGTCCGGGCCCAAATATGGCTGACTCTGCTAAAGGAGACAGGGTCTGTGGTCCGGGCCCAGCTATGGCTGACTCTGCTAAAGGAGACAGGGTCTGTGGTCCGGGCCCAGCTATGGCTGACTCTGCTAAAGGAGACAGGGTCTGTGGTCCGGGCCCAAATATGGCTGACTCTGCTAAAGGAGACAGGGTCTGTGGTCCGGGCCCAGCTATGGCTGACTCTGCTAAAGGAGACAGGGTCTGTGGTCCGGGCCCAGCTATGGCTGACTCTGCTAAAGGAGACAGGGTCTGTGGTCCGGTACGCCGTACCGGTAAAACACGAGCCTGTCACAATTAATTGACTGGAAACCGGGTTGTATACGGTCCAAATTGCATTGTGGTTTGAGGAAAACACTTACATTTTGTCCAAGGCGGAGATGAGTGGCCGAGACGCTCTCAGTCTGGGCAGAGATAAACGGCTGAGGCCGAGGCGTGTGTGGACAATGACAATCTCAGAATGTCATTACTTTACACGGAGGTGCTTTTGTAACGGATGTCTCTTTCCTTTCATCAAACTGCGGTTGCACAGTGCCCTTGTTGGGGGTTTGGATGCTGACATTATTTTTGTGAGTGGATGAATGTGCGCGGGGGAGCCTACTGGAGCACCTATTGTCTGACAATCAGATGAAAACATCATGACTGGTTGTGTTTATGCCACATTGAAAGGTATAAAGCGGCATGTCCATAAGGCTGGGGAAGCTTTCCCTAAAATAAATTGAATTAAATTTCCAAAATGATATAGCCTAATTAGCTTACTCCTGTCTATGGAGAAATAAATGAAATTATTCAAAATAGGCTACCACACCAGAAAGCATGGTTTGGCCACAGAGGATCATTAGTTTCATTTTTTTTAATTTTTGTTACTGTGGATTGTTTTAAGTCGCATAACCTACAGTTGGATGCAACGGGTGCCTGAAATACCAAATAGATGATTGTTAAGTTGCAACTCTCAGTGAAAAGCAGAGAGACACAGCAATGCATATCGCAATATAAGAAAATACAAATCGCTGAAAAACTGTTTGGAAAACAAATGGCTATTGATGTAAACACATGACAATGAAGACTCCAATCTATCTTTTAGTTATCAAAATTCTGCATGTGTACACAGACACACACATAAACACACACACAAAAGCATCTTGATTGCCAACAGCTTGCGTCTCCCTTTTAATAATCCCATCCAAACTCTCCCTCCTTAGTCAAACTGCCGTTTCCTTAATGCAATGAACCGTTCTCGCTATCTGCCTTCTCTGTGGCAGAGTAAACCAGTTTGTTAGGGTCATCCGGCTAAGTAACCCTTGTTAAGTCACTCATATGCAAATCAGATATACAAATGTGAACGGTAAAACGGAACACTGGTTCATTTGGCTTCCTGACATTCCAAACAGTCACAGGGGACTCTATGCAAATCGTATACAAATGACCATAACTGGCCTGTGTTTCTATTGGGTAAAGGGTATAGGCCTATGGATTGGGCTGTGGCCTTGTTTTGACTAGGTAAATATACTAAGTGTACAAAATATTAGGAACACCTGCTCTTTCCATGAGATAGACTGACCAGGTGAATCAAGGTGAAAGCTATTATCACTTATTGATGTCAACTATTAAATCCACTTCAATCAGTGTAGATGAAGGGGAAGAGACAGGTTAAAGAAGGATTTTTAAGCTATGAAACAATTGTGTATGTGTGGCATTCAGAGCGTGAATTGGCAAGACAAAACATTTTATTGCCTTTGAACGGGGTATGATAGTAGGTGCCAGACACACCGTTTTTTGTCAAGAACTGCAGTGCTGCTGGGATGGATGGATGACTGAATGAATGGAATGGATGGATGGATGGATGGATGGATGGATGGATGGATGGATGGATGGATGGATGGATGGATGGATGGATGGATGGATGGATGGATGGATGGATGGTGGATGACTGAATTAATGCTGGATGGATGGGATGGATTGATGGATGGATGGATGGATGGTGGATGGATGGCATGGAGGATGGATGGTGGATGGATGGATGGATGGCTGGAATGGATGGATGGTGGATGGAATGGATGGATGGATGGATGGATGATGAATGAATGATGGATGGCTGTCTGCTGGCTATGTGATGGCTGGCTGGTGGCTGCTGGCTGGCTGGCTGTCTTCCTGCATGGCTGGCGGCTGGCTGGCTTGGCTGTGCTGGCTGGATTCTGGCTGGCTGGCTGGCTGGCTTGCTGGCTGGCTGCTGCTGGCTGGCTGGCTGGCTGGCTGGCTGCTGGCTGGTTGGCTGGCTGGCTGGCTGCCTGCCTGCCTGGCTGGGCTGCTGGCTGGCTGGCTGGCTGGCTGGCTGCTGGCTGGCTGGCTGGCTGGCTGCCTGCCTTTGGTGGTTGTGACTGCTGATGGTGTGATGCCTGCTTCCTGGCTGGTTGGGTGGATGGCTTGGCTGGCTGGCTGGATGCCCTTGGTTGGTGGTGCCTGTTTGGTTTTTGGTTTTGGGGTGTTTGGTCCTGGGGTGTTGCTGCCTGGTGGTGGGTGTTCCCCCCTTCCCCCCTTTCCCTTCTTTCCCGGTCCCCTTCTCCCCTAAAATACTCGATTTTTGTACTCTTTTTTAAAGGGTCTGGTGCCCCAGAAAACTCGACACAATTGAGAGTGCTGTTCGCTGTACTCTAAACGGAACACTGTTCTCTGCAGAGTTGTACTACTGCAGTCAGAGAGTGAGATAGAGAGTAGAGAGAAAGAGAGATAGCGAGTGGAGAGAGAGGGAAAGAGAGAGAGAGAGAGAGAGAGAGAGAGAGAGAGAGAGAGAGAGAGAGAGAGAGAGAGAGAGAGAGAGAGGAGAGGATAAAGAGAATATTAAGAAATGCTATAGATGGAAGGAAAGTAGTGTTGAAACCTACCAAAAAACAATTAGGAAACAACAAATTAAATCCATTCTAGACAACTTCCTGGACAAAACGTTCCACTGTAATAGTGAAGGTGTAAACTTGGCAGTAGAAAACCTAAACAGTATATTTGACCTCTCAGCTTCCCTATCAAATCTAAAAATCTCTAACAGAAAACCAAAGAAAAGTAATAACAGTGATAAATGGTTTGATGAAGAATGCAAAAACCTAAGAAAGAAATTGAGAAACCTATCCAACCAAAAACATAGAGACCCAGAAAACCTGAGCCTACGCCTTCACTATGGTGAATCACTAAAACAATACAGAAATGCACTACGGAAAAAGAAGGAACAGCATGTCAGAAATCAGCTCAATGTAATTGAAGAATCCATAGACTCTAACCACTTCCGGGAAAATTGGAAAACACTAAACAAACAACAACACGAAGAGCTATCTATCCAAAACGGAGATGTATGGGTAAACAACTTCTCCAATCTTTTTGGCCCTATAACAGAGAACAAACAGCAAAAAAATATACATGATCAAATGCAAATCTTAGAATCAACTATTAAGGACTACCAGAACCCACTGGATTCTCCAATTACATTGAGTGAACTACAGGACAAAATACAAACCCTCCAACCCAAAAAGTCCTGTGGTGTTAATGGTATCCTCAATGAAATGATAAAATATACAGACCACAAATTTCAATTAGCTATACTTAAACTATTCAACATCATCCTTAGCTCTGGCATCTTCCCCAATATTTGGAACCAAGGACTAATCACCCCAATCCCCAAAAGTGGAGACAAATTTGACCCCAATAACTACCGTGGGATATGCGTCAACAGCAACCTTGGGAAAATCCTCTGCATTATCATTAACAGCAGACTAGTTCATTTCCTCAGTGAAAACAATGTACTGAGCAAATGTCAAATTGGCTTTTTACCAAATTACCGTACGACAGACAACGTATTCACCCTGCACACCCTAATTAACAAACAAACAAACCAAAACAAAGGCAAAGTCTTCTCATGCTTTGTTGATTTCAAAAAAGCTTTTGACTCAATTTGGCATGAGGGTCTGCTATACAAATTGATGGAAAGTGGGGTTGGGGGAAAAACATACAACATTATAAAATCCATGTACACAAACAACAAGTGTGCGGTTAAAATTGGCAAAAAACACACACATTTCTTTCCACAGGGCCGTGGGGTGAGACAGGGATGCAGTTTAAGCCCCACCCTCTTCAACATATATATCAACGAATTGGCGAGGGCACTAGAACAGTCTGCAGCACCCGGCCTCACCCTACTAGAATCTGAAGTCAAATGTCTTCTGTTTGCTGATGATCTGGTGCTTCTGTCACCAACAGAGGAGGGCCTACAGCAGCACCTAGATCTTCTGCACAGATTCTGTCAGACCTGGGCCCTGACAGTAAATCTCAGTAAGACAAAAATAATGGTGTTCCAAAAAAGGTCCAGTTGCCAGGACCACAAATACAAATTCCATCTAGACACCGTTGCCCTAGAGCACACAAAAAACTATACATACCTCGGCCTAAACATCAGCGCCACAGGTAACTTCCACAAAGCTGTGAACGATCTGAGAGACAAGGCAAGAAGGGCCTTCTATGCCATCAAAAGGAACATAAAATTTGACATACCAATTAGGATCTGGCTAAAAATACTTGAATCAGTTATAGAACCCATTGCCCTTTATGGTTGTGAGGTCTGGGGTCCGCTCACCAACCAAGAATTCACAAAATGGGACAAACACCAAATTGAGACTGCATGCAGAATTCTGCAAAAACATCCTCCATGTACAACGTACAACACCAAATAATGCATGCAGAGCAGAATTAGGACAATACCCGCTAATTATCAAAATCCAGAAAAGAGCCGTTAAATTCTATAACCACTTAAAAGGAAGCGATTCCCAAACCTTCCATAACAAGGCCATCACCTACAGAGAGATGAACTTGGAGAAGAGTCCCCTAAGTAAGCTGGTCCTGGGGCTCTGTTCACAAACACAAACAGACCCCACAGAGCCCCAGGACAACAACAACAGCAACACAATTAGACCCAACCAAATCATGAGAAAACAAAAAGAGAATTACTTGACACATTGGAAAAAAAGAAAAGAAAAACAGAGCAAACTAGAATGCTATTTGGCCCTAAACAGAGAGTACACAGTGGCAGAATACCTGACCACTGTGACTGACCCAAACTTAAGGAAAGCTTTGACTATGTACAGACTCAGTGAGCATAGCCTTGCTATTGAGAAAGGCCGCCGTAGGCAGACCTGGCTCTCAAGAGAAGACAGGCTATGTGCACACTGCCCACAAAATGAGGTGGAAACTGAGCTGCACTTCCTAACCTCCTGCCAAATGTATGACCATATTAGCCACAAAGAATTCGAAAACAAACAACTCCCTTATCTACTGGGTGAAAAACCACAGTGTGCCATCACAGCTGCAAGATTTGTGACCTGTTGCCACAAGAAAAGGGCAACCAGTGAAGAACAAACACCATTGTAAATACAACCCATATTTATGTTTATTTATTTTCCCATTTGTACTTTAACTATTTGTACATTGTTACAACACTGTATATATACATAATATGACATTTGAAATGTCTTTATTCTTTTGAAACTTCTGAGTGTAATGTTTACTGTTAATATTTATTGTTTATTTCACTTTTGTTTACTATCTACTTCACTTGCTTTGGCAATCTTACCATATGTTTACCATGACAATAAAGCCTTTAAATTGAATTGAATTGTATTGAATTGAGATAGAGAAGAGAGAGAGAAGAGAGAGAGAGAGAGAGAGAGAGGAGAGAGAGAGAGAGAGAGAATGAGAGAGAGAGAGAGACAAGAGAGAGAGAGAGAGAGAGAGAGAGACAGAGAGAGAGAGAGAGACAGAGAGAGAGAGAGCGAGAGAGAGAGAGAGAGAGAGAGAGAGAGAGAAGAGCACTACTGCTCTCTTCCAATAGGCCGCGGAGAGCACGGCGTCGTGTAGCGTAGCTCAACCTCAGCCAGTGACACTCTAGAACATTTTTTTTTTTTTTTGTGAATGAAACAGTGAACACACACACACACACACACACACACACACACACACACACACACACACACACACACACAGCCAGATACACACACATCGCGAGATAGGAGTGCGATCCATCAGACTTTAGATATACTTCCGCCGACCTTCCACATACAGTACACGCGCTCATACAACAGACACACGCTGCAGCTGAACCGAGGACAATCTGTTTGAGATGACGATCAGATCATGTATCTTGGACCTAAAGATGAGAAGATAAGGTATTGATGGATCCTGTGTTGTCTATAGAAATGACATTTGATTGATCTTATACCCATGCTGAGGTAGGAAGAGATGCTGTGTTCTGATCTGATTCTATATTCACTCCTGTGGTTTTCATATGCAAATAAGACAATGTCTAGATGTGGTTTTAACCAATCAGCATTCAGGATTAGACCCACCCGTTGTATAAATGCAAATAAGCCTGTCTGTCAAAATAACAGAACAAACAAACAAACGAAACAAAGAAGAACAACAAAGATAGATAACAACAGTGACTTTCTATGAACTTAGTGTCTGTGTGTGAGCCAGGGAAAGTAGGGAACTGGGTTAGGGTTCGTCTGAAGGGGATTCAGGGGGACAACACTGCCATCTATGGCCACCTACGGGACTGCAGTATAGACCTACTGGATTACATCATCGAGTTGTAGACTGCTGGGTGCTTCAGGCTGCTATCACACAGACAAAGAGAGCAGGAGGGACAGAGGGGTGGAGGGAGGGAGGGAGGGGTGGAGGGAGGCAGAGAGAGGGAGGGATGTATGGAGAGAGAGGGAGATAGGTACAAGAAGAGGTCAGGTGTTAATGCACACACACACACATACACACACACAAAGACACACACACAAACACACACACACACATACACACAAAGACACACACACACACACACACACAGACAAACACACACACACACACATACACACAAAGACACACACACACACACACAAAGACACACATACAGACACACGTGGTACTTGATGGTGAAAGCAAATTATTCACAAACAAATAAAAGGGTAGAAATATCCCAAATCCATTCATAGATAGACTTTCACTATGTGTCGACCCATGGAATAGTTTGTTCATTTCTACAAGTGGTATGAGCATGAGCCATACACATATATATCCACGTGTTTAATATATACATCACTGGCCTGAGCAATGAGCCCAGACTTTTGTCTGATGGTCTTGAATGATTGTATAAAACCATGGAAAGGGCATAGTACTCCTGTTGGTTCAGATGATATTGTTGCTGTATTGCATTGTAACAGACTGTAAAACCAAGACATCATGTAGTTCAGGTTGGCTGCCAATTCAATTCAAGGGTAAAACGAGAGGACAAAACACTGTTGGTTGCTTAGGAATCGCTTCTGATGTTTCTTCTCCACAACCTTCTGTGAGAGCAGACTGCCCCCTAGTGTCTAGGTTTAATATGACATTATAAGGTGACGCCATCAGACTGCTGTCTGTCGACTGGCGGCAACTTGACCACCTGATCTGACCAGTAAACACTCTGGGCCCTTCATGGACAGGGATAACTCTGGGTACTTCATGGACAGGGATAACTCTGGATCCTACATGGACAGGGATAACTTTGTGTCATTCATGAAAAGGGATAACTCTGGGTCCTTCATGGACAGGGATAACTCTGGGTCATTCATGGACAGGGATAACTCTGGGCCCTTCATGGACAGGGATAACTCTGGGCCCTTCATGGACGGGGATAACTCTGGGTCCTTCATGGACGGGGATAACTCTGGGCCCTTCATGGATGGGGATAACTCTGGGCCCTTCATGGATGGGGATAACTCTGGGCCCTTCATGGACAAGGATAACTCTGGGTCCCACTCATAAGGGGCAGGGTTAGTTAGCATGTACATGACATTACATTTTAGTCATTTAGCAGACGCTCTTATCCAGAGCGAGTAGGGGTGTAACGATTCGTTTTAACAACGATTCGATTTGTATCACGATTCGTGGTTGTCGATACGATTCAAGGACGATATTGGTTCATTTAGAACGATACGATCCGAAACGATTCAGTGACTTGAAATCGATTCAGTAACCTTTTAGCCAAAAATTAAACCAGTGTGACTGAAATAAATACCTGGATACTGGACAGTGCAGGTGAAGTTTCCTAGATTCCTGTTTCTTGTAAGGACCGCAATGGTGGCTTGATAATTTCTCGCTCGTCGGCTTCTCCTCTGTCGTCCGCCATGCTATGTTTTGTTGTCTTTGCGCCTTTGCGCTACTGCTGGCGCGGGGCGATGACGTCACGGATAGGCAGACTGAATCGAGTAATGTTTAAAGCCTTTATCATTAAAAGTGCTAAGAAAAAACATCCATATAAAGTCTGACGTGCTTAAATCCAATGGGTTATTTCCTAGTATCGATACAATCGATTTATTACATTTTAAAACGATGTTAGATTGATATATGTTGTCCAAAAGGCCAACTCGCCGAGCACAGATCGATGTAGTTGGATCATAGGAATATAAATCGATACATCGATGTAGTAGATGGATCGTTACACCCCTAAGAGCGAGTGCATACATTATTATTTGTATTTATTTTTCATACTGGCCCCCCCCGTGGGAATCGAACCCATGTAGTAGCATTCACATGACCAAGTAGTGCAGTAGAATATACCTCCTGTCCGTAACAGTAGGGCCCAACCCTGCGCTATAACACCTAACCTAATGGAGCATCACTGTCCTCCTCTGTAAAGCAGTGTGTTGTTCTGACCTGAGTACTGTGTAGGAGTTCGACCGTATTCTCTCGAGGCAGCCATTTTGATCACTACCAGATGCCTTGGCCAGACCTGCACAAAGAGGGGCCTTGTATCCTAAACTCTATTTCCCTGTCCCCCCTCCTGCCCTAACTTCTCATGAAGTGTGCACTCGCCCCACTACTTCCCATGTTAAAAGCATTGGATGGGTTGAAGCATGCGCTAGTGGGAGTTTTATACCAGTCATCAGGACCAGACCTATTTTTGCAGTTTTAAGTGAATTTCCTGCAGTTCTACACTGCCGTGACTTATGCCATGTTAATGTGATATCTGAGTGAGAGTGATTAACAAAATCATTGGGGGCCCCTGGAGGTCAGGGCCCCTGGGCCTGTTTCGGTAATTTGACCATGACTACCACAAGTTTAGATAGCTGGCTAGACTAACATAAAATATATATGTTAGCTGACATGGGCTTATTGAGTGACTGTCAGTGATTGACATACAGTGGGGAGAATAAGTATTTGATACACTGCCGATTTTGCAGGTTTTCCTACTTACAAAGCATGTAGAGGTCTGTAATTTTTATCATAGGTACACTTAAACTGTGAGAGACGGAATCTAAAACAAAAATCCAGAAAATCACATTGTATGATTTTTAAGTAATTAATTTGCATTTTATTGCATGACATAAGTATTTGATACATCAGAAAAGCAGAACTTAACATTTGGTACAGAAACATTTGTTTGCAATTACAGAGATCATACGTTTCCTGTAGGTCTTGACCAGGTTTGCACACACTGCAGCAGGGATTCTGGCCCACTCCTCCATACAGACCATCTCCAGATCCTTCAGGTTTCGGGGCTGTCGCTGGGCAATATGGACTTTCAGCTCCCTCCAAAGATTTTCTATTGGGTTCAGGTCTGGAGACTGGCTAGGCCACTCCAGGACCTTGAGATGCTTCTTACGGAGCCACTCCTTAGTTGCCCTGGCTGTGTGTTTCGGGTCGTTGTCATGCTGGAAGACCCAGCCACGACCCATCTTCAATGCTCTTACTGAGGGAAGGAGGTTGTTGGCCAAGATCTCGCGATACATGGCCCCTTCCATCCTCCCCTCAATACGGTGCAGTCGTCCTGTCCCCTTTGCAGAAAAGCATCCCCAAAGAATGATGTTTCCACCTCCATGCTTCACGGTTGGGATGGTGTTCTTGGGGTTGTACTCATCCTTCTTCTTCCTCCAAACACGGCGAGTGGAGTTTACACCAAAAAGCTCTATTTTTGTCTCATCAGACCACATGACCTTCTCCCATTCCTCCTCTGGATCATCCAGATGTTCATTGGCAAACTTCAGACAGGCCTGGACATGCGCTGGCTTGAGCAGGGGGACCTTGCGTGCGCTGCAGGATTTTAATCCATGACGGCATAGTGTGTTACTAATTGTTTTCTTTGAGACTGTGGTCCCAGCTCTCTTCAGGTCATTGACCAGGTCCTGCCGTGTAGTTCTGGGCTGATCCCTCACCTTCCTCATGATTGTTGATGCCCCACGAGGTGAGATCTTGCATGGAGCCCCAGACCGAGGGTGATTGACCGTCATCTTGAACTTCTTCCATTTTCTAATAATTGTGCCAACAGTTGTTGCCTTCTCACCAAGCTGCTTGCCTATTGTCCTGTAGCCCATCCCAGCCTTGTGCAGGTCTACAATTTTATCCCTGATGTCCTTACACAGCTCTCTGGTCTTGGCCATTGTGGAGAGGTTGGAGTCTGTTTGATTGAGTGTGTGGACAGGTGTCTTTTATACAGGTAACGAGTTCAAACAGGTGCAGTTAATACAGGGAATGAGTGGAGAACAGGAGGGCTTCTTAAAGAAAAACTAACAGGTCTGTGAGAGCTGGAATTCTTACTGGTTGGTAGGTGATCAAATAATTATGTCATGCAATAAAATGCAAATGAATTACTTAAAAATCATACAATGTGATTTTCTGGATTTTTGTTTTAGATTCCGTCTCTCACAGTTGAAGTGCACCTATGATAAAAATGACAGACCTCTACATGCTTCGTAAGTAGGAAAACCTGCAAAAATCGGCAGTGTATCAAATACTTGTTCTCCCCACTGTAACAAGAAAAGAAAAAAAACTGCTAAAGCATAACCAAATGTCGAAATTGCACCTTGTGCATTCTAGTATTCTAACTCTCAACGGTATGTTGAGACCCCGACTGAGTTCCCAAAACTGTCCGCGGGGCCCTAAGCAGTAGCTTGTGTCACTTACGCCTAGGGCCAGCCCTGCCAGTCATCATTTCCTTCCAAAAAATCAGTGAAGTGGGAGTGAACAAGTGCACACTTTGGGAGGAAGGAGAGATTTGGGAAATAGCCTCTATATATCCACAACCCATTTCTCACTGTAAAGAGTAAATCCTTAATCTACCCTATAGGCTAGTGAGGCTACTATCCCCCACCCTTCTTAAAGGTTAGGATTGGAGGAGGGGAAGCTGATCCTAGATCTGCACCCAGGAGACGAGGAGGGTGGAGGTGGAAGAGCATCTCTTCCTGTTGGGACCCAAGGAAGAGTAGCTGCTGCCTTGGCAACAACTACTGGGGATCCTAAAGAAATACTAAATAATGTCCTCCTATACTAATCCTACACTAACTAACCCCTTGTCCTCCTATACTAATCCTACACTAACTAACCCCCTTGTCCTCCTATACTAATCCTACACTAACTAACCCCGTTGTCCTCCTATACTAATCCTACACTAACTAACCCCCAGTCCTCCTATACTAATCCTACACTAACTAACCCCTTGTCCTCCTATACTAATCCTACACTAACTAACCCCCTGTCCTCCTATACTAATCCTACACTAACTAACCCCTTGTCCTCCTATACTAATCCTACACTAACTAACCCCCTTGTCCTCCTATACTAATCCTACACTAACTAACCCCCTTGTCCTCCTATACTAATCCTACACTGACTAACCCCTTGTCCTCCTATACTAATCCTACACGAACTAACCCCCTGTCCTCCTATACTAATCCTACACTAACTAACCCCCTTGTCCTCCTATACTAATCCTACACTAACTAACCCCCTGTCCTCCTATACTAATCCTACACTAACTAACCCACTTGTCCTCCTATACTAATCCTACACTAACTAACCCCCTTGTCCTCCTATACTAATCCTACACTAACTAACCCCCTGTCCTCCTATACTAATCCTACACTGACTAACCCCTTGTTCTCCTATACTAATCCTACACTGACTAACCCCTTGTCCTCCTATACTAATCCTACACTAACTAACCCCCTGTCCTCCTATACTAATCCTACACTAACTAACCCCTTGTCCTCCTATACTAATCCTACACTAACTAACCCCCTTGTCCTCCTATACTAATCCTACACTAACTAACCCCGTTGTCCTCCTATACTAATCCTACACTAACTAACCCCCTGTCCTCCTATACTAATTCTACACTAACTAACCCCGTTGTCCTCCTATACTAATCCTACACTAACTAACCCCGTTGTCCTCCTATACTAATCCTACACTAACTAACCCCCTGTCCTCCTATACTAATCCTACACTAACTAACCCCGTTGTCCTCCTATACTAATCCTACACTAACTAACCCCGTTGTCCTCCTATACTAATCCTACACTAACTAACCCCCTGTCCTCCTATACTAATCCTACACTAACTAACCCCCTTGTCCTCCTATACTAATCCTACACTAACTAACCCCCAGTCCTCCTGACCCCCTTACTCTACCACACTTCCCCCCCAGCTAAGCCCCTTCCGCATTTAACCCCAACAAATGCCACGCTCTGGACGAGACAGCCGAATCGAGGCAAAGGTAAGATCATCTGGATTAGCTATCTAATGTTAACTTTAGTAATGGATAAATTGGCTACATTTATTTAAAATTGACAATTCTGTGTAATGTCTTGTGCAAGTTTTAAATTGACACAATACCTGTTAGCAAAGCGGTCTGCTAGAGATGATGTGCAGGAGATTGCAGGGATTTGTAGTCTTGAGTGATGTCATTCACTTTTATGCTAATTAGCATTTTTCAAATCGGAGAGTAAATAGTGCGTAATATATTGATAAAAGTCACCTTGTCCGAGAGAGATTTACATGGTTATCAAAACGTCACGCCAGGGCAAGCCTACACGAAACACAGACCTCAAGTGGTTCTAAAACCCCATGGGAAAAATGAAATGGTGGAAAAACGATTGGAACCATTTCCCTGTTTAACCGCTAGGTTTTATGGGTATTATGACACATCCACTGTGGGGCTCTATAAGACCCACGTAGCAAATAAGCCATTCCACTTGTTCTTAACCAGATTCGACACTAATTGACCTCCACACAAAACTCATTGTGTGGTGAGTGGAGAAAACACCACCTACCAGAGATGACAGATTTTGGGCCAAGTTAACACTCGCTTCGCATCTTCCTCTCCGCCTAATATAGTAGACAGCACAGAGGTCAGGCCACTCAAGAAATGAATATATAAAGTGTGGTACATTTATTAACACTATTAATCCATTTCAATTTTTAAACATAAATCCACACAAAATACAAAACAGATTCCCAAACAGACAAAGAACAACCCATCTCTGTGTGGGCATCAGTGGATTTTCCTATGAATGATATCCTAAGAATAAGGCTTGATGACAACATGCCTAGGATGCATCTCAAATGTCAACGGAACAGCCTGACATTCAGCCCGGGTTTTACCTCCTACGCTAGTACTTATGCAGAAGCTCGGTTTTCACCACGGTGAAATAAAATCCTCATCTGGTTTTGGGTAGAGAAAAAAAGACAACTGGATGCATCTTTCAGAAAAATACATTTTGTGTGTGCAGGCTGTAGTTTGTAAACAAAGAAATGGAGTGAATATTTATGACTGCTTTGATTGAATTGCAGCCTCACTCAACATTCCTCCAGAATGCTCCAGGGAGAATAGAACGACAACTGGTTTCCCGATTGGTTTGTGCATTTAGGAAACGTTTAAAAAAAAAAAAAAATCAACCAATGCTTGTTATAAAAAGGCTAAAACATATTTCTTGATCAAGAAGTCCTAAAACAAACATATTTCTATTATCTAAAATGGCATTTCTAAGAGCTGGGACATGATCTCCAAAAAGGGATCAACCCATATTTACACCGTACGCAACCTGAACAAGAATTCAAAAAGTAAAAAAAGCCAAAACATTTTGCTGCTAAAAGGAGACGTTGTCACATATACTGAACAAAAATATAAAACGCAACAATTTTATTGATTTGACTTGAGTTACAGTTCATGAGGAAATCAGTCAAATCAAAAATAAATTCATTAGGCCCTAATCTGTGGATTTCACATGACTGGGAATACAGACATGCATCTGTTGGTCACAAGATAGCAAAAAAAAAAAATGTATAATAATAATAAAAAATGGGCCTCAGGATCTCGTCACGGTATTTCTGTGCATTCAAATTGCCATTGATAAAATGTGTTCGTTGTCCGTAGCTTATGCCTGCCCATCCCATAACCCCACCGCTCGCCCACATGACACCATACTCGTGGACCTACTGCCAAATCCTCAAAAACGACGTTGGAGGCGGCTTATGGTAGAGAAATCAACATTCAATTCTCTGGCAGTAGCTCTGGTGGACATTCCTGCAGTCAGCATGCTCCCTCAAAACTAGACACATCTGTGGTATTGTGTTGTGTGATAAAAAAAAATGCACATTTTAAGAGTGGCCTTGTATTGTCCCCAGCACAAGGTGCACCTGTGTAATGATCATGCTGTTTAAATCAGCTTCTTGATATGCCACAACTATCAGGTGGATGGATTATCTTGGCAAAGGAGAAATGCTCACTAACAGGGATGTAAACAAATTCGTGCACCAAATTTGAGAGAAATAAGCTTTTTGTGCGCATGGAACCTTTCTGGGAACTTTTATTTCAGCTCATGAAACCAACATGTTGCGTTCATTTTTCGTTCAGTGTAGAATCGTTTAAAAATGTCCCATGTTAAATGGGGAGGTTAACATTGCTGCCATAAACTGTTGTAGTGTCATGTAACGGCAGAATCCTACACGTCCTAACTAAATACATAGTTCTGGTTTAAGCTAGGCATCGTATCGCTGGACGGTGGGTAGAAAACAGCAATTCATGTTAGTAAAATCCATAAATCAAACATCTTTTAATGTGTCTTAATAAAGCCGTCATTCATACCATAATGAAAACTTAATAGACGAGGCCACGATCTAGAAAGGAAAACTGCAGAGAAAAAAAAAAAGACTGATAAAGTCATGAACAGAGGTGCAGTTTCCCCTAGGTACATATCTAGGATCAGATTCCTAGCCTAACATTTAGTGGGGGAAATGCAAAAACTGGCCCCAAGATCAGCATCCAGGGGCAACGTCACCCTACTCCTCGGGACAGCAGAGTAGTTATCGCAATTCAGTACAGTATTGGAGGATGAAATAAAGACGGCTGCATTTCCTACTTCATTGTAGCCAAGGTCCCATATGTTTGTGCCATCGTGTCAACATGTTCGTAATTATGACAAAGAGTTGACGCGATAACACAAACAAGTGCACCAGGCTAGTAACCAGGCTAGAACACAACTCAAGCACACAGACACGACTCACACGGAACAAAAAAAGGCACAACTTCAGACCGAGGCCAACCTCATATGAACATGTTGTGCTGTACAGGCATGGAGGTACACCTGGGAGGAAGACCTTTTTGTGCCACCATGTCAACTCCCTGTCAATACAAACAATGCAGAAACAAACTGGTAGCCAAGGCCATCTCCAGACTGGTAGCCAAGGCCATCTCCAGACTGGTAGCCAAGGCCATCTCCAGACGGGTAGCCAAGGCCATCTCCAGACTGGTAGCCAGGGCCATCTCCAGACTGGTAGCCAAGGCCATCTCCAGACTGGTAGCCAAGGCCATCTCCAGACTGGTAGCCAGGGCCATCTCCAGACTGGTAGCCAAGGCCATCTCCAGACTGGTAGCCAGGGCCATCTCCAGACTGGTAGCCAAGGCCATCTCCAGACTGGTAGCCAAGGCCATCTCCAGACTGGTAGCCAAGGCCATCTCCAGACTGGTAGCCAAGGCCATCTCCAGACTGGTAGCCAGGGCCATCTCCAGACTGGTAGCCAAGGCCATCTCCAGACGGTAGCCAAGGCCATCTCCAGACTGGTAGCCAAGGCCATCTCCAGACTGGTAGCCAGGGCCATCTCCAGACTGGTAGCCAAGGCCATCTCCAGACTGGTAGCCAAGGCCATCTCCAGACTGGTAGCCAAGGCCATCTCCAGACTGGTAGCCAAGGCCATCTCCAGACGGTAGCCAGGCCAGTTCCAAGGTACCAGCCATCTCCAGACTGGTAGCCAGGCCATCTCCAGACTGGTAGCCAGGGCCATCTCCAGCCTGGTAGCCAGGGCCATCTCCAGATGGTAGCCAAGGCCATCTCCAGAATGGTAGCCAAGGGCCATCTCCAGATGGTAGCCCAAGGCCATCTCCAGATGGTAGCCAAGGCCATCTCCAGACTGGTAGCCAAGGCCATCTCCAGACTGGTAGCCAAGGCCATCTCCAGATGGTAGCCAGGCCATCTCCAGACTGGTAGCCAAGGCCATCTCCAGACTGGTAGCCACAAGGCCATATCTCCAGATGGTAGCCAGGCCCATCTCCAGACTGGGTAGCCAGGGCCATCTCCAGAATGGTAGCCAAGGCCATCTCCAGACGGTAGCCAAGGCCATCTCCGGTAGCAAGGCCATCTCCAGACTGGTAGCCAAGGCCATCTCCAGAATGGTAGCCAAGGGCCATCTCCAGACTGGTAGCCAGGGCCATCTCCAGACTGGTAGCCAGGGCCATCTCCAGACTGGTAGCCAGGGCCATCTCCAGACTGGTAGCCAAGGCCATCTCCAGACTGGTAGCCAGGGCCATCCTCCAGATGGTAGCCAGGCCATCTCCAGCCAAGGCCATCTCCAGACTGGTAGCCAAGGCCATCTCCAGGTAGCCAAGGCCATCTCCAGACTGGTAGCCAGGGCCATCTCCAGACTGGTAGCCAAGGCCATCTCCAGACTGGTAGCCAAGGCCATCGCCAGACTGCCTTAAAAAGCAGCTTCTGGTACAGTACCTTAGAATGGCTTACATTTAAAATACCCATTTCTGTAGGCGACAATAGAGCATATAGTTCCATTCAGGACATGTCTGTTCTCCGACATACTGTCATATCAGTCAATTGACTCAAAATGACTTCTTGGTAAGTTCTGTCATTAACCCTTAAAAGTCGTACACTACACAAAGGAACTAGGGTGTCATCTGGTAAAGCACTGCTCCAAAACTAAGTAGGTTTAGCCCTCAAAAGACAAGCAATGCCCCCAATCGAAAGCGGAACATATTTTAGTATTAGCGATTAGTAGTACGGTTGGGTAGTTTTAAGTTTACATGTCTATACCAATCGAAGGGTAAATTAAAAAGTTGATCTACATTTTTCATCAATGGGTTAATGTGGTAAAAAAACAAAACAAAAAAACATTTTAACTCATTAAAATATCTGGCACAAAAACATTCATTAGAATCCATTTGTATGTTTTAATTAAGCAACACAAATTGTATTTCATGTAGAAAGCTATTTGGGAACCCTGAGAAATGACTGAAGCCAAGAGTTGGTTCATAAGTTAGTTATTCAATAAGTAAAATGGGTGGTAGCATGGCTGTAGTGGCTAAAACAAAATGGGGGCTCGTCCACGTGACTCTTATAGGTGTGTGTGTGTGTGTGTGTGTGTGTGTGAGAGAGAGAGAGAGAGAGTGAGTGCGCTGGATATTGATGCAGTTTATGGATGGCAGTAGAGGACACAGGTAAACAGGAGCAATATTCACGTCCTCCTCTCAACAAAAAAAACATACACAAATATGTGTAGTAAACCGTTGCATCAGGAGAACTGACGCATCCTAGGGTCATCTTTCACTACATACTGTGGTTATCCAAACAATACCAGTCAGTATTGTGTCAGAAGGCTCCATGTGGAAGACCAGGGGACTCGCAAAAATCGATGCCCAGGCAGACATCACCATCCTGGGGCATAGATATCAGGTCTGTTCCACTCTGGTGAACGGAGAACCAGGACCTATCCTAGGGTCCACTACATCACATTATAAAACACAAGTTCACAGATAACAGTCACACAATTGTAGATATGGGTAAGAATCTGAGTCCAGGGGGTTAACATCCATAACCTACATGGAATCATGTAGTAACTCCAAAAATATATTTTATATGAGATTCTTCAAAGTAGCCACCGTTTGACTTGATGACAGCTTTGCACACTCTTGGCATTCTCTCAACCAGCTTCATGAGATAGTCACCTGGAATGCATTTCAATTAACAGGTGTGCCTTGTTAAAAGTTAATTTGTGGAATTTCTTTCCTTCTTAATGCGTTTGAGCCAATCAGTTGTGTTGTGACAAGGTAGGGGGAGTATACAAAAGATAGCCCTATTTGGTAAAAGACCAAGTCCATATTATGGCAAGAACAGCTCAAATAAGCAAAGAGAAAAGACAGTCCATCATTACCTTCAGACATGAATGCCAAGAGTGTGCAAAAGCTGTCATCAAGGCAAAGGATGGCTACTTTGAAGAATCTAAAATCTATTTTGATTTGTTTATCACTTTTTGGTTACTACATGATTCCATATGTGCTATTTCATAGTTGATGTCTTCACTATTATTCTACAATGTAGAAAATAGAAGAAAATAATAATAACACTTGAATGAGTAGGTGTCCAAACTTTTGACTGGTGCTGTATATGTCTGTAGGGACAATCTGTGCTTTCAGACGAGAACAGTTCATTAAGAGAAGTCCGCTATGGGGAGTGATGTGTGTGGGATGTTGTTTTGCCTGTCAGTGCAAGTGTCGGACAGACCAGAAAGGCAGGCTTTTGAGAAGGGGTTTGTCCGTTCTTTAGGCCACAGAATTCTCCACTACAGTAAGTGTCTGAATGGAAACAGGCTTACTTCCTTTGATCAACTCTATACCAAGAGCAGGTAATTCCTTTCTCTCATCACTGGCCAGGGGTCAATTACACAGCAGGTTCTCTATGAGAAGTCCAGTCAACAAGGTCAAGAAAACAAAGTCTGTCTCCAAAATGGCTGCTGAGCTGCATTCCATAGAGCCCACTGGGCTCTAAACTAGTTATTTATAAGTGTAAAAAACGACCACATTGGGACCATGAGTCTGGCTCCAAAATGGCCAAACTCAAAACCCCCAGAACGGCCGCTGAGTTTCCATTTCACTCAATTACAGAGCAGATCGTCTAGTGGAAGCCGGTCCAGATCGTAGGAGAACAGGTCGCTGATGCCTTCGTCTTCCCCCAGGCTGAGCAGGTAGTCATCCCCCCCGGGGGAGAGGGGCAGGGAGGGGGAGAGGGGGATGAAGGGCTCCTGGTCGACGTCCTGGAGGGGGAGGAGGGAGGAGAGGGAGGAGGGCAGGGGGGAGACAGGAGTGACCGTCACCGCTGAGCATGCTGGGAGCCTGGACAGGGCGTTGGATAAACCGTTACTGGAGTCACCGGCGGAGTTACTACCCTCTGGTGAGAGATGGGTAGAGAGCAAGAGGGAGAAAAACAGAGTGAGTGAAAGAAAGAAAATAGTTCACCCAAATAACCAACCCACCACAGAATTAGGTCTCAAGGTTTAGCTCACCCATAGAGATAGATAGAGAGGACTCTAGGACTCTGTTTAAGCATGGGCAGCACCATTGAGGACTTTGATTATTTTGAAGTAGTCAACTGGGCGCGACTTCAAATGCGTTTTAAGGAAAGATCACATGATTCCAGCCAGGTGAACAGGAGGGATCAGCCAAATAATTATACTTGTCAGCAAACACTCCATAGCTGTAGGCGGAAGTACACCGTGGCTTTATACCTGCTCAAAAACTACAGGTGGCAGTACGCACCCTTTCAGTTTGTTTGCCAACTCGTAAGTATTGGAAGAAGAAAACGGACTACTTCAAAATGGAGATGGCCTCAATGGTGCTGCCCGTGCCCACAGACGTCATAAACGGGACAGATACAATGACGCGATGTCTATCTGAGTCTATGGGCTCACCTTGTGACACCTTGAGGAAGGATGAGGAGTTTCCATTGACATACGATGAAGATGAGGGGGGATGTCCATTTCCGTTCAGCGTCGAGTTGTTTTTCAGCGGGGAGGAGGGGGCGTGATCATCAGAGCACAGGAAGACTTCTATTGGACCCTGGGTGCTGCTCAAGTGGACCTGGAGACTCTGATAGGTCAATCAATAAATTAATCAACCAATTATACACTACATGACCAAAGGTATGTGGACACCTGCATGTCGAAAATCTCATTCCAAAATCATGCGCATTAATATGGAGTTGGTCCCCTCCTTTGCTGCTATAACAGCCTCCACTCTTCTGGGAAGGCTTTCCCCTAGATGTTGGAACATTTCTGCGTGGACATTAGGCCTGGCTCACAGTCGACGTGCCAATTCATCCCAAAGGTGTTCGATGGGGTTGAGGTCAGGGCTCTGTGCAGGCCAGTCAAGTTCTTCCACACCGATCTCGACAAACCATTTCTGTATGGATCTCGCTTTGTGCACGGGGGCATTGTCATTCTGAAACAGGAAAGGGCCTTCCCCAAACGGTTGCCACAAAGTTGGAAGCACAGAATCATCTAGAATTTCTACTGCCAATGTTTCTCTATGCAGATTGCATGGCTGTGTGATCGATTTTATACACCTGTCAGCAACGGATGCGGCTGAAATAGAATCCACTAATTTGAAAGGCTGTCCACATGCACTATATATATATATACAATAGTATGTCAAATTAGCCAATCAATAACTGTCTGCAGAATCAGCCAATCAATAACTGTCTGCAGGGACTGGACACTAGAGGAAGTGTGACCACGATCACGGCTTGGTCTCTATTTATGGTGTGTGTGTGTGTGTGTGTGTGTGTCTGTGTCTGTGTGTGTGTCTGTGTGTGTGTATGTGTGTGTGTGTGTGTGGTGTGTGTGTGGGTGGGTGGGGGTGTGTGTGTCTGTGTGTGTGTGTGTGTGTGTGTGTGTGTGTGTGTGTGTGTGTGTGTGTACCTCAGCAGGGTCTGGCACCTCCAGTCTGGTTTCAGCGGGGGCTTTGACCATGATGACTGTCTGGTCATTCAGACTAGGAATCCTTTTCACGTCATCATACGATATGTACGCAAACGTACCCAGAGGTTAAGGAAAGAGTAGTCACACACTCTGGACAAGAACACACACAGGACAAAAACACACTTAAAACACAAGTGTGCTGATAAAAAAAAAAAAATTAAAATGTAAACACAAACCGATTCACACACAGGACAAGAGCACACACACACACACACACACCATTACATCCACACACACACCATTACATCCACACAGCAGGGTTGTAAAGGAAGGCTATTTCCTTGTGGGTGTGTCTTCAGTCATCTGTTGGACGATGAGTGTGCAGGAGTGTATGAGTTCATCCAGTCTCTTCTCCTCTTGGGTCAACTCCAGCAGCTCTTTACCCACAGACCCAGGGGTCTGGACACTGGCCACTCCCTCTGGAGACAGGCTACAGCCCCTGCACAGAGAACGGCACGTTTAAACACACAGGAGGAGAACACAGGAGGAGAACACATGTTTAAACACACAGGAGGAGAACACATGTTTAAACACACACGAGAGAACACATGTTTAAACACACACGAGAGAACACATTTAACACTCAAATGGGAGAGAACACACATTCCACGCACACATTCTTTCACACACGTTACACCCGTCGCACTGCCGTGCCGACTCCAATCTTAACGGCTCGGATATTGTCCTTTACAGCACTGTTCCAGCAACTATGGTGCATTTCTAACCAGGCCAGTGCAATACAACTTGGTCGTACACAGACCCCCCCCCCCCCCCCTACTCACATCCACTGGATGTTATTCTTGGACTTCTTCTTGATGAGATGCACCCCCTCCAGTACGTTGGTGATGTCATAGAGGCGTCTCTTCTGGACCTTGAGGGACTCCGCAGCCCGGTTGAGATCCACCACCCCGTCACTGGACTGGCCCAGCAGCTGGAGAAACTTCTGGGTCAGGAGGCCCAGAGAGGTGTCATACCTGGTCTTCTCTAACGGGGAGGGAGGAGCTGGAGGGAGGGGAAAGGAGATGGGTTAGTTAACAGACAGGAGCTGGAGGGAGGGGAGAGGGGATGGGTTAGTTAACAGACAGGAGCTGGAGGGAGGGGGAGAGGAGAAGGGTTAGTTAACAGACAGGAGCTGGAGGGAGGGGAGAGGAGATGGGTTAGTTAACAGACAGGAGCTGGAGGGAGGGGAGAGAGATGGGTTAGTTAACAGACAGGAGCTGGAGGGAGGGGAGAGGAGATGGGTTAGTTAACAGACAGGAGCTGGAGGGAGGGGAGAGGGGATGGGTTAGTTAACAGACAGGAGCTGGAGGGAGGGGAGAGGAGATCGGTTAGTTAACAGACAGGAGCTGGAGGGAGGGGAGAGGTTATGGGTTAGTTAACAGACAGGAGCTGGAGGGAGAGGAGATGGGTTAGTGAACAGACAGGAGCTAGAGGGAGGGGAGAGGAGATGGGTTAGTTAACAGACAGGAGCTGGAGGGAGGGGAGAGAGGAGATGGGTTAGTTTAACAGACAGGAGCTGGACGGAGGGGGAGAGGAGATGGGTTAGTTAACAGACAGGAGCTGGAGGGAGGGGGAGAGGAGATGGGTTAGTTAACAGACAGGAGCTGGAGGGAGGGGAGAGGAGATGGGTTAGTTAACAGACAGGAGCTGGAGGGAGGGGAGAGGAGATGGGTTAGTTAACAGACAGGAGCTGGAGGGAGAGGAGATGGGTTAGTTAACAGACAGGAGCTGGAGGGAGAGGAGATGGGTTAGTTAACAGACAGGAGCTGGAGGGAGAGGAGATGGGTTAGTTAACAGACAGGAGCTGGATGGAGGGGAGAGGTGATGGGTTAGTTAACAGATAGGAGCTGGAGGGAGGGGAGATGAGATGGGTTAGTTAACAGACAGGATATGAGGGAGAGGCAATGGGTTAGTTAACACAGGGTTTCCCAAAATCGGTCCTGGCCCCCCCCCCCCCCTCCCTCCCCGGGTGCACGTTTTGGTTTTTGCCCTAGCACTACACAGCTGATTCAAATAACCAACTCATCATCAAGCTTTGATTATTGTAGTGTTAGGACAAAAACCAAAACATGCACCCAGGGAGGCCCTAGGACCAAGTTTGGTTAAACCCTGTGTTAACCGAGTTCAGTGGATGTTTCAGGGACTACTAGAGTAGTGGGGGTTTCAGTAGACTTCAGTAGACTACTAGAGTTAGTGGAGGGTTTCAGTAACTACTAGAGTTAGTGGAGGGTTTCAGTAGACTACTAGATTTTAGTGGAGGGTTTCAGTAGACTACTAGAGTTAGTGGACGGTTTCAGTAGACTACTAGAGTTAGTGGATGGTTTCAGTAGACTACTAGAGTTAGTGGACGGTTTCAGTAGACTACTAGAGTTAGTGGATGGTTTCAGTAGACTACTAGAGTTAGTGGAGGGTTTCAGTAAGCCCAAATGAGAGGGGCTACTAGAGTTAGTGGAGGGTTTCAGTAGACTACTAGAGTTAGTGGAGGGTTTCAGTAGACTACTAGAGTTAGTGGATGGTTTCAGTAGACTACTAGAGTTAGTGGAGGGTTTCAGTAGACTACCAGAGTTAGTGGAGGGTTTCAGTAAGCCCAAATGAGAGGGGGCTACTAGAGTTAGTGGAGGGTTTCAGTCGGCCCAAATGAGAGGGGGCTACTAGAGTTAGTGGGTTTCAGTAGACTACAAGTTGTGAGTTTCATAACTACTAAGTTCGGGAGGTTCAGTAGACTACTAGATTTGTGAGGTTTCAGTACACACTAGGTTAGTGGAGGGTTCATAGACTACTAAGTTATGGAGGTTTCAAACCCATGTGAGGGGGCTACTAGAGTTAGGAGGTTTCAGTAAGCCAAATGGAGGGCTACTAGAGTTAGTGGAGGGTTTCAAGCCAATGAGAGGCTACTAGAGTTAGTGGAGGGTTTCAGAAAGCCAATAAGGGCTACTAGAGTTAGTGGAGGGTTTCAGTACCCATGAGAGGCTACTAGAGTTAGTGGAGGGTTTCAGTAAGCCCAATGAAGGGCTAGAGTTAGTGGAGGGTTTAGTACCCAGATAGAGGGCTACTAGAGTTAGTGGAGGTTTCAGTCGCCAAGAAGGCTACTAGAGTAGTGGAGGGTTTCAGTCGGCCCAATGGAGGGCTTATGTGGAGGGTTTCAGTAACCCAAGAGAGGGAGGGTTCGTACTAGAGCTACTGGAGGGTTTTTAGTGGAGGGTTTCAGTAGACTACTAGAGTTAGTGGAGGGTTTCAGTAGACTACTGGAGTTAGTGGAGGGTTTCAGTAGACTACTGAGTTAGTGGAGGGTTTCAGTAGACTACTGGAGTTAGTGGAGGGTTTCAGTAGACTACTAGAGTTAGTGGAGGGTTTTCAGTAGACTACCAGAGTTAGTGGAGGGTTTCAGTAGACTACTAGAGTTAGTGGAGGGTTTCAGTAGACTACCAGAGTTAGTGGAGGGTTTCAGTAGACTACTGGAGTTAGTGGAGGGTTTCAGTAGACTACTAGAGTTAGTGGAGGGTTTCAGTAGACTACTAGAGTTAGTGGAGGGTTTCAGTAGACTACTGGAGTTAGTGGAGGGTTTCAGTAGACTACTAGAGTTAGTGGAGGGTTTCAGTAGACTACTAGAGTTAGTGGAGGGTTTCAGTAGACTACTAGAGTTAGTGGAGGGTTTCAGTAGACTACTAGAGTTAGTGGAGGGTTTCAGTAGACTACCAGAGTTAGTGGAGGGTTTCAGTAAGCCCAAATGAGAGGGGGCTACTAGAGATTATTAAGATAAGAGAGGTGGTTGTTTTTTCTACTAAACTGAGCTAAATGCACAGTTAGTCTAGCCTCATATACCAGACTGATTACCGCTGCACTATCAGTTAGCGAACCATTCATGTAAGCTCGCGAGGTTACTGTAAGTCGTCCTGGATAAGCAATGCTGAGCTGTAATTCACTCTGGATAACAGTTTCTGCTTGATGACAAAAATGTAACATCACTTAGCATGGTAACTAAACTACCCCCCATACTGTCCCCCCTCCCCCAGTGAGTCTTACTCTTGGTTCTTCTGAGGGAGTGTGTGGTGGTTCTCTTAGCTCTGGGTTTACTGATAGTCTCACTGGTGTACTGGTCCCGTTCTTCCAGCTCCAACCGACGCTTCGCCTGAGACAGAAGAGTTATACAAAGTTGAAAATCTGGATCACTTCAGATGGAAAATAACCAGTCCTCAAGGGTCAAGGGTCACAGCACACATCGTCTTCCTGAAGTTGGCCTAGGCAGAGACCTGTAAATAGTTTACATTTAAAATATTTGGAAAGTGGGGTTTTTTTTGTCTTCCGTTTTTTTTTATCACTATATCTTGTGGTCTTGACTCTGAGTTGCAGGATAGTGATCAAATCAAATCAAATTTTATTGGTCACATGCGCCGAATACAACAGGTGCAGACATTACAATGAAATGCTTACTTACAGCCCTTAACTGTTGGTTAAGGGCTGTAAGTAAGCATTTCACTGTAATGTCTGCACCTGTTATGCAAAGTTATGGCTTGACAGCTAGCTGTTTGGATTTAAATAATGCAGGTTTTTGTTCAATTTGTTTGGAAGTATTACACCAAGACCCTCTTTTCAGCAGCCGTGGCATCACCCAGGAAGGGGCTACATTCCTGTCAATGGAGGACCAGTAGCAGAGGAGCGGCTCCAACGGAGTGACTGACCATTCAGAGGAGCGGCTCCAATGGAGTGACTGACCATTCAGAGAAGCGGCTCCAATGGAGTGACTGACCATTCAGAGAAGCGGCTCCAATGGAGTGACTGACCATTCAGAGGAGCGGCTCCAATGGAGTGACTGACCATTCAGAGGAGCGGCTCCAATGGAGTGACTGACCATTCAGAGAAGCGGCTCCAATGGAGTGACTGACCATTCAGAGAAGCGGCTCCAATGGAGTGACTGACCATTCAGAGAAGCGGCTCCAATGGAGTGACTGACCATTCAGAGGAGCGGCTCCAATGGAGTGACTGACCATTCAGAGAAGCGGCTCCAATGGAGTGACTGACCATTCAGAGAAGCGGCTCCAATGGAGTGACTGACCATTCAGAGAAGCGGCTCCAATGGAGTGACTGACCATTCAGAGGAGCGGCTCCAATGGAGTGACTGACCATTCAGAGAAGCAGGTGTTGTGGGCTGTTGAAGAGAGCCTGTTGTTTCAGGCTGTCTTTGTTTTTCCTTGGCTGTCCCATCGATTCCCCCTCCACTTCCTTTCCAGCCCAAACGGCCTCAACTAGCTAGCTAGCTAGCTGTTTAGCTTGCTAGCACATTCAATCATTTTTTGAAAACAATTAGCAAGCTAGTGAGCTACCACGTGTTCTTGTCAAACTGTCAACAAGACATGCCAGATAAGTCTAAAAAAAACACTTGAGGGCAAATAAAATCACATGCCCAGGAATCAAATTAGGTGATTTGAAGTGTAGCTTGAAATACGATGATCCCACCACCTGAGACAATGACCACGTTCACATGCATACAGTATTCCAGATAGTAGCTCATATCCCACTTAAGGTCTTATTCAGGATAAGCTGTTTACATGCACCTTTGATATCCCGCTCATGAGTATCCCTGTTCCATGAATAAACAGAATATTCCTCATTTAAGTTCACATGGGTTAAATGGAATATTAACTGAAATATGGACACTGACTGTAGGCTTATAACCTCTCACATGTAGCATAATATCATATGCACTTGTGTAGTATTATGCAGTGAAATTATACAACAAATGTTTAATTGTTTCGGGAACAGAAGCGGAGAAATTTGATTTCTTTCAGCATCTCGAGAAAATGTGAAGGCGCTTGTAATGTGTTATATTTGACACTTACGCAAGCAGACAGTATTTCAAAACACAAAATATGCACCCAAGACGAACTGAAGTCTTTGTGTTTCTCAGCTTTTAATTTCATTAAAACCGGTCAAACTGATGACATTTGGACATTTTGCACAGGACCGATCTTTTTGTTTTGGAGTTATTGTGTTTCTCCCCGGTCCCTAATGATCTTTTTGTTTTGGAGTTAGTGTGTTTATCCCCGGTCCCTAATAGAAACAGAGAACTTTACCAGTGTTAAATACACTGAACAAAAATATCAACACAACATGTTAAGTGTTGGTCCCATGTTTCCTGAGCTGATATAAAACAAATCCAAAATGTTCCAGTCGCACAAAAAGAGCATCTCTCAAATGTCGTGCACAAATTTGTTTACATCGCTGTTAGTGAGCATTTCTCCGGAAGCCAAGATAACCCATCCACCTGACAGATGTGCCATATCAAGAAGCTGATTAAACAGCACGATCATTACAGGTGCACCTTGTGCTGTGGACAATAAAAGGCCACTTTAAAATGTGCAGTTTTGTCACAACGCAATGCCAGTGACAGTTGAAGTTGAGGGAGCATACAATTGGCATGCTGACTGCAGGAATGTCCACCAGAGCCGTTGCCAGAGAATTGAATGTTCACTTAGATTTAGATTCACTTCTCTACCATAAGCTGTCTCCAATGTCGTTTTAGAGAATTTGGCAGTACATCCAACCGGCCTCACAACCGCAGACCACGTGTAACACTAGCATAGGACCTCCAGATCTGGCTTCTTCACCTGCGGGATCGTCGGGGGTGGGGGGGGGGGGTATTTATGTCTGTAATAAAGCCCTTTTGTGTGGATAAAACTCATTCTGATTGGCTGGGCCTGGCTGCCAAGTGGGTGGGCCTATGCCCTGCCAGGCCCACCCATAGCTGCACCCCTGCCCAGTCATGTGAAATCCATAAATTTGGGCCTAATTCATTCATTTCAACTGACTGATTTCCTATTATGAACTGTAACTCAGTAAAACGGTTGCGTTTATATTTTTGTTCAGTATAGATTACTAATGCATTAATTATATCCGTGTAAGACATTCTGTTGAGCACTACTTTATTTCGTCTCACGGGGCAACAAGTTATGACAGAAGAGAAGCCGCATGTATCTATAGTTGACAAACAAACGGCCTACCAAATGTTGGAAATTATAAGCAGAACATTGTCTAAATTAGGGATGAAAGTAGCTAGTAAATTCATTACAGTAGACTAAATTCATTACGGTAGACTAAATTCATTATGGTGGATCGAACTGTGTGGGTAGCCTACTTTTTGAAATGATTTGTTTGACAATCAGATGAAAACATCACAACACCCATGATTTGCTAAACTGAGCCTGCGCAGAAAGCCGAAAAAACGAGAGGTTTACATGCCACAGTATCCAGTCTTAGATCAGCATTTCCCAGGCATCTTATCCAGGTTTCTTATAAAACGGGATAGGATGCTTATACGCGTCAACTGAGAAACATAATACTTGAGTATCCCGAATAATCAGGATACTGGTGGACACAGTTAAACCTAGTGGTCATATTTACCTCAGAAGGAGAAAAGCTGGCAGGTCTATAGAGCATTATTGGCTATAGCACCTCTCCATCCACATTGATGATTTGTTTCCTTTACATAGGTACATTGGTTGTCATGAATGTTGCAAGTTGCTTGATTCTTTGAACTGTGGTCAAGTATGTTTCGGTTGGAGTCAGTCACCTACCCACCTCAATGCGTTTGCAGAAATTATTTTTCAGTGCGAGTTCACAACTCAAAAATGGGCTGTTTGTGGCATGTAGCTTGCATGTGCATGCTTCCAAGATATCAAACTTTCAGAATATCACAACAAATCTGAAATGTGTTAAGACTTCTTCATGGTATGACTCCATGTTGGCTAGCAAATAATACCCATCTAGCTAATAATAGTATAATAGCCATCTAGCTACGTCACAGACGTGGAAGATAGTTCGTGTACTTTCAGTTTTATGACAACGAGGGGACTATGGTAAATAATTTAAGTTTGATCCCACAAGCGCTCTTTTGAGCACCTGGACCGAAGGATTACAAAATGGGGGAAACACAACCAACAAGCTGAGTAAGAAGCTTGTGTCCCACGGTATAACATTGGGAGTAGATTCACCCCATCCCCCTCCAAGCGTCGTTTACGGCCTAGCTTCTTTCTGGTGGTTTAAAAAAAAACATGCTTTAGCTAGCCCATGGTCATTTACTAGCTAGGTACCATAAATAAAGACACGTTTTTGTTTGCCGATTTCTTTTATTTTTTTTATGATTGATTGGGGGTTATTCTTACGATATCATTTCTGCAGGTCAAAACTTTAGTAATATGCCTGCTGCTGGATATCGAAAAACAACGAGGTGGATTGATTTAAAGTGTCGTTAGCGTGTCAAACAAGCCCATACTTATCTAGCTAGCTGTGTTGGCTATCCAACCATCGCGTGTATACTTACTCTCTAGGGATCTAAACCTAACGTTAGCTAGCTAGGGCTCTTCGATAACCCTTATAAATCCACTGTCAAAAGGGACATCTCATGTGGGAAAAGTTACAAGTGCTGCATCACAAAAACATAACTAACGTAAAAAAAACTACATGCAGAAAGAGTCAACGTGTGACATGTGCAATAAAACAGTACTGTATTAAGCTAAAAAGCTAGCACTGTAAGTTATACTACTAACGTTAGTTAGCAATAGTAGCTAAATAGCTAACGTTACTCAAATCGCTAGGATTAGTCACTAGCTAGTTCTCACTAGTTAGCGAACCTAATGCACAGTTGTTTGCTAACTGGTCACCTTGCATTAATGTGACTGCATTTAATATTGTATGCCAAAAGAGCCATCGCGTTATGAATTACCGGGGGTCTTCCGAGGGCTGGTCGCGGTCCTGTCCCGTTTGTAGACACCCCGATGGGTGTAGTGTAAAGCTGACTCACGGTCGGGTCTACGACACCGACATTGTTAGTCTGGTTCGGGCAGGGCGGAGGTGTTAAGATCTGATAATATGTCGCATTGCTGTACCGGGTCAGAACCGTTTGTTTTTGGTCCATGGAGGAGCCCCCGACCCCTGAAATTAGGACTTTTTCTGGGACACCCCCCTTTCTCATCTTAAGGCTTGAATGTCCGTTTGTCCCTCCGCTACTTTGGACCACTTTTTCTCAAAGTCCTCCTCGGCTCGACCCAAAATAATCAGGGATATCGTTACACTAATATCTTACATGCCCGTTTGTTCAAATTGTATAAATGATATGTTTCTAAAACGTGAAGATGCAACGGATTTCATTAAGTGGCGAGATCCGTTCTGCTTAAAAAATGGCTCCAGGAAGCTGACAATGAATCAGGGGATGCAGTTTACGCGCGAAGGGCCCTCCCGCGAAACTCAGATTTCCCGGGAATTATTTAAACGAGATTTGCATATGGAATGCTATTGGTCACCATCGTAGCAGTCTCCCTATACGTAATTGCGTCGGCGTGTTTGACCAATGGGGTGAGGATTTTCGACACAAAGCAACGTCCTGTACTTGTGTCTGCTGAATGTCAAAATCAATCATGTCAGGTAAGCGCCATATATATATATACGATTAATACACACTGGTTCACTGACAACTGTTATTCACACAAACTGGTTATCTTTGGAATAAGACTATAATAGGATTCAAACGGGCGGCAGGTAGCCTAGCGGTTAGAGCGTTGGGGCAGTAACTGAAAGGTTGCTAGTCTGAATCCGACAAGGTGAAGAATCTGTCGATGTGCCCTTGAGCAAGGCACTTAACCTTAATTGCTCCAGGGTTGGCGTTGATAATGGCTGACTGTGACCCAACTCTCCAAAGGTGTCTCAGGGGGATTTGGGACATGCACAAAACACATTTCAAAATCAAATCAAATCAAATGTTATTGGCCACATGCGGCGAATACAATAGGTGCAGACATTACAGTGAAATGCTTACTTACAGCCCTTAACCAACAGTGCATTTTTTTTAAAATAAAAAAGTAGAATAAAACAAAAAAGTGTTGAGAAGTGCAAATAGTCAGGGTAGCTTGGGGGTAGAAGCTGTTGAGCTATTGAGAAGTATTTTGGACCTAGACTTGGCACTCCGGTACCGCTTGCCGTGCAGTAGCAGAGAGAACAGTCTATGACTAGGGTGGCTGGAGTCTTTGACAATTTTGACCTCCTCCCTATAGGCTGTCTCATCGTTGTCGGTGATCAGGCCTACCCACTGTTGTGTCGTCGGCAAACTTAATGATGGTGTTGGAGTCGTGCCTGGCCATGCAGTCATGGGTGAACAGGGAGTACAGGAGGGGTCTGAGCACACACCCCTGAGGGTTATATCTGCATATAATACAAGTACATCTGTGAAATAGGACAAATATAAGCAACCAACAAATAATTGTATTTATTATTAATAAACCTTGCATTCTTCATGCAAGGTTCCTTCTTGTATCAAGTCTTGATTATTCTTGCATTGATTACTTTCCTGTGTGACCCTAACATCTAGCAAAAATAACATAAAAATGCAATGTAGTCATTAATGTGCATGGATGCCATACTGAATGTTACATTAGAAAACATTTATTCTGGATGCAACATGTACAATTCACACCGTCAGTTGATCAGTCACTAACAATGTTTGAAAATTGTTTTAGTAAATCTAGTAGTCCAACATAAAACAGTCACAGGAACAAAGAATTTGACATTTCACCCTTGAATTTCACAACTGCGGACTTATCCATGTTAATTTGAGACATATATGAATTACTTTATGTGCTCATATTAACAAATACACAAAATACAAAAACTAAGTTCCAAAAACACAACAACAGGATCACATTGTTGAATGATAACAGTAATCCTTTTTTGCCTTTTGAATGTAAAATATAGCACACCCTTTACAAATGACCTATTCTTAGCATTGGGAATAGGAAACAAATGCCTGCTCAGAGAACTTCAATGCAAACACCTAACTCCCTAATGTCCATCCTTTGTTTCATGACCACTGACAGATATCAGGGATGAGGACTTGATCATTGTTTACTCCCAAATAGCTGTCACCTTCAATAACCTTTCATGAAGGGAAGAAAGGACACAAAGAAAGGAAGATATTTAAGTCTAATGGGATACAGCCACACGCTTCATTCTAAATTAGGCCCTAGCCCCAACCCCTACTCTGGCCAGTACTTCCTCTACCAATGTATAGGCATTAGGCGGGTGTAATGAAATGTAGCTAGCTCAATCATCATCAAACTTGATCTTCTTTCCCTGGAAGGCCAGTATCAGAGTCTGCTGCTCCTTCCTCTTCTTACTGGCCTCCCATGACGGGTGCAGAGCCTGCTGTGGTGGCTGAGATGAAGGGTTAGTGGAGATCCCGCTGCGTTCCTGTTGCCTGCCAAAGTCTCCCCTTCCCCGGCCTCTTCCTCTGCAAGAACCCCCGTCATGTGTCCCAGGACCCCGAGACGGGCCATCATGTCCCCCTCTGCCCCAGTTCTGGAAGTCCCTTCCTCTACCCCCTCCTCGGCCCATACCCCTGCCTCCACCTCTACCTCCACCCCTGTCTCCGTCTCTCCCACCTCTGGAACCAGACAGAGTGGAGCAGTAGACAGACCTCCCCTTGGAGTTCAGCCTGGCCTCCAGTTTATCCAGTTCCGTCTGGTGTGGTTCTAAGCTCGCCAATGGTTCCAGCAGTGGGTTTTTCCCCAGCGCGCTGCTCTTCCCCTCCCCTCCTCCTGGTGGCACCGTAGCCGCGTCACTCTTCTTCTTCTTGAACTTGGTGACTTTCCCCAGGAAGAAGTCGTCATTGTCGCTCTCTTCCGACTGGGAGGACTGTTTACGGAAACGCTCCTCCGTGCTGTCGTCAAAATACTTCTCCTCGTCGTCCGAAGACTCCAAGCCGCTCTCCTCTTCCTCCTCATCCTCCTCTTCTCCTTCTTTGTCCCCCTCCTTGTTTTTAACATCCTTATTTTGAGCTTTACAGTCTCTCTGGGGTTTGGGGTCATGAGTCTTCTGAGTGGCTGGAGTGTCCTTTGTGAGTTTCTGGGTTACTTGCTTCTGTGGTGTGTTTTTCATGGTTGCTATGTTCTGTGTTACTATGTTCTGTGTAGGTACTATCTGTGGGGCCTCTATTGTGAAGGGAGTGGATGAGTCTATCAGAGTCTTATCAGCCTCTGTCATCTCCTTGGGCGGAGGGTCAGATACTGTACTCTCTATGGGGGACTCTTTATTCTCTATTGGCGACGTTTCTTCTTCTTTAACCCTAACAGTCTTATCAACAGGTTGCTTTTCTATAACAGCTGGTTCATCAACCATTAGACTCTGGCTCTCCGCGGGTGTTCCATCTTCCTCCTCATCCATCTCTTCTTCATTTACCACCACCCCTCCCTTCCCCCCTTCCTCCTCTTCACCTTCTTCCACCCCTCCTCCGTCACTGTCCTTCGACTGCTCGATCACCTCTACCACCTTTAGTGGCTGTTTTTTAACCGTTCCCTTGTCTCCTTTCTCTACTGTCATCCTTTCGTCCTTGAAGGCTTTGATGGCAGCTTTGATGGTGTCTATCTTCTTGCTGAACTGGGGGTGATTGGCGATACGGGTTATAGCTCGGTCAGAGATGGTGGCCTTCAGATTCCTACAGACAAACTCAAAACTCAGGTTCTTCTGGAGGGCAGCCTTGGTCACCTAGAAATAACAAACAACCATAATTACGATATCTGGTTTTGGGACTATGTTGTGATTCATATATAGTTTTGGCCTGACATGAATACATGAGTATGTGCTGCGGTATTCCAACTTCCAAGTACAAAATAATGTATCTGATATGTAATTGGTGAAGTACACTTCACTAAAGAGTTTGTACTTTCCTGATACATTAATACTTATCAGGATACTTTTACTCAAAGTAAAAAAAACAAAGAAATGTTACAATACATTGTATAAAAGGAATTCACTCCTTCCACCAGCAATGTGTATCAGCACATATACAAAGGTGTGGGAATTAAATTAATTCACGCACTAAACATGAGCATGCAGTATTCCAAATAAGGAAGTAAAAATAATGTACGTCAGATGTAATTGGGGAAGAAGCACCCACCGGATCAGGTTTGAGTGTCTTCATCTCATGGATTTCCTCCAGCAGTCTACCTACCCTCCTCCGGTTCCTCTCCAGATCTTCCTCCTTCCCCTTCTTCTTCCTCAGACCTGCTATCTGCCTGGTCAGCTTCCTGATGACCAGCGCCCTCACCCTCTTCACCTCCTTCCTCATCCTCACCACCTCGTTGTTCAGGTTTAATGGAACTGGCTTACTGGGATCATCTGGTTTCTTCTTCCTTCTCGGAATCTCAGGCTTCTTCTTCTTTTGGAACCGCCAGATTATTGTATTTAGTCGGAAGCCCTGGTTTCTTGTCTTTCGTCGGAAGCCCTGGTTTCTTGTCTTTCAACGGAAGCCCTGGTTTCTTGTCTTTCAACAGAAGCCCTGGCTTATCGTCTTTTTTGGGGAGTTTTCTGTTTATTTGGATCCTCAGGGATCGTCTCGGTCTTCAGAACATCTGGCATTGTTGCTTGCTGTGTGTCGGTTGATGACATCTGTGGGTGATGCAGTTATGGGCAGAAGAGTGAGTGCACAGAAAGGAACAGCTAAATACAGTAGGTTCTCTTCTCTCTGTAGGTGATACCTGTGAACGACATAGCTAGTATGTAACAGACGCATACAGTAGGAGTAAAGGTAAATACAATGGGATAATAACAGCTACCTTAGAGGTACATTACAGTTATTATGGTGGCTAGCTAGCTAACGTTAGCATATTTACAAGCATGGCCGAGGAAGCAGTATGCTAGTGCATTTGTTAGGACTTTGAAGTCAACAAAACAATATATAGAGATGACAGCTTTATTTTTAATAACACACTACAGTAATCACAGCACAAATTGAAATGTAATCAAAATCACTCATACCTTCAAAGTATAAACATTGAAATTGGATAAAGATTTACTCCATCCTTGGGGGCAGCCATTTTTCTTACTACGGAGACGTATGAATGACGTGTGTGCGTCGTGGCGTTGGATGAAAAGGGGGAGGGCCCACGATACAGTGTTTTTCTTTCTTTCTTTGTTCCAGAAAACAACAATGGTGTATATTTGAAGAAATGTCCATATCTGATCGTTCGCGTGACATTTTCGTAATAATTACCGGATTTATATCAGAACCGAATCCACAGGAGGGAGGATGAAGCGGCGCAATGCGGACTGCAGCAAGCTCCGACGGCCGTTAAAACGGAACCGAATCACCGAGGGTATATATAGCAGGTACGAACGAAGAAAGTGGCTTTAGCTAGGGACATGATCGTACAATAATGGCGTCTGAGACATATCAGACAAGACACTCAGCTGTCGTGTAGAGTGTCAAATAAACCCCCGCTTTAGCGTTACTATTCATGTGTCGTTTTCGAATGTCTAATAGCCTGGTTCCGAAGGCCAAGCTATGTAACGTTAGCTAAGTAGCAGCTGCTAGTTAGTTCGCTTGCTATTCTGACAGTTTCAGGGATTTGTTCCGAAACGTAAACAGCACTGACTGCATTCACATTGACGACAATCAAATGGCATTGGGAAAACGTGCTAAAATGCGTACACAGATCATTATTTTATTGCACGGTTGATTGATTACTGTCCGCTTACAGTTAGCTGGCCATCCAACCCAAACATGACAACATGATCTTGTATTACTCACTCACTGTCTGGTAGTCCTGTATTACAAGCTAGCTAGTTATCCAAAGCTTGACGGTTATTGTACGCTTGTGGCACTTCAGTCCATTGTCAGCAGCAAACCTCCATTCATTACACAGCGTGGGAAAAGCAGCTGTTGAAAAGCCAACATGCACACAGGTTTTAATGTTCTCTTCAATCTTCTCATAGTCCTACGCCACTGTCTGGCACTGTGTTAGGCTATGCATTTCTGGCCTTGTACAGTATGAACAAAGAGTATAGCTCTGGACCTGAGCTAAGTATGAAGGGACTGAAAGCAGTACAATTGTACAACCATGAATCTGTATATCAACTAGTGGGGACTAAGTGAGGATACATTACAGGCCAAATTTGAGTGAATTTCTTCCATTATTCAGTGCAAATACCTATTTTGAAAACGTGTGATTCTGTCGTTGCAGATTACCTCTAATCGTGACTGAACTCAGGATAAAGATGTTCCATCTATAAACACAGTGTTGTTTCTATGAATGACTGTGTTACTGATCATATCACAGGGAGTTTTTGTCTAGCTCTGGTCCAGGGCGGTAGTGCGATGGGTTCCCATACTAGTTAGTAGAGGAGCACAATAACACCTTGGACCAGAGCTAGTTTTCATCCAGCCTCTTTGTTTTTACTGTTTGGCTCCCTCTCTCTCTCTCTCAGGTTGTGTCTAAAGAAATCCCACAATGTTTCTCTCTCTCCCGCTCTCTATATCTTTCTCTCCCTCTCTCTCTTTTTCTATTTCTTTGTCTGTCGCTCTCTCTCTCTCTCTGTCGCTCTCTCTCTCTCTCAGTACGTTCCTGTATCTGAAGTTTCTGGTGGTGTGGGTACTGGTGCTGCTGGCAGACTTTGTATTGGAGTTCAGGTTTGAGTACCTGTGGCCCTTCTGGCTCTTCATACGCAGTGTGTATGACTCCTTCAGATACCAGGGGCTGGTAAGTGTGTGTGTGTGTGTGTGTGTGTGTGTGTGTGTGTGTGTGTGTGTAAGTAAGAGTGAGTGTGTGTGTGTGTGTGTGAAAGACAGCGCTTACTCATGAGATTTTGACACGAAAGATGGCTGCGCAATTGTATATTATTGCACACTGACTACATTTCTCTCTCTCTCTCCATCCCTCCCTCCCTCCCTCTCTTTCTCTCTCAGGCGTTCTCAGTGTTCTTTGTGTGTGTGGCGTTTACGTCTGACATCATCTGTCTCCTCTTTATCCCTGTCCAATGGCTGTTCTTTGCTGCCAGCACCTACGTCTGGGTCCAGTACGTCTGGCACACAGGTCAGTTAACATCGGCTCTCCGTCCCATATTTAGATAGATTTCTCTTTCCTACGATGCATTGGCTTAATCCTGGGTGGCATGTGATTCACATGTGTATGTATACCCAGTTATCAAATGTGTATGTACTGTACATTTATATATTCAGATATGCATGTACAAAATACATTTGTATTTCTTTGTCTGCTTTTACACAAGCAGCCCAAATCTGATATTTTTTCCACTAATTGGTCTTTTGACAAATCAGATCAGCTCCTGCCAATAATTGGGCAAAATATCAGAATTGGTCTGCCTGTGTAAACACAGGCTTTAACTCTCACACCGTCTTCCATCTGGGCCCTTCCCCCTTGCACAGAGAGAGGAGTGTGTCTACCCACCGTATCGCTATGGATACTGTTTGTGTACATGGAAGCTGCCATCCGCTTCAAGGACCTGAAGAACTTCCACGTGGACCTGTGTAGGCCCTTCGCTGCTCACTGGTAACCTGTCACCTGTTTTTATAACCTTACCTGGCCAATGTTATTGCATTGTGTCATTGGGCCTTTTATTGCACACGAACAAGCACATTGTATTTGCTCAGGCAATGTTCTTTAAATAATTAGTCAAACAGTCCCACTTGTTACCTGTAAGCTCTTCAACAAAAGTGAAACTGTTCTTCTTTTAAGCTGCACATTAAGTAAGAAAGCTTTCGTTTTTTTCCCCCATCATTATTTCACTATGACTGGTAACCATAACAACACTCTTGTCCCCCCCCCCCACTTCTCCCTCTGTCAGTATTGGCTACCCCGTGGTGACTCTGGGCTTTGGCTTTAAGAGCTACGTCAGCTACAAGATGAGACTGAGGAAACAGAAGGAGGTGCAGAAGGAGAATGACTTTTACATGCAGCTCCTGCAGCAGGCCCTGCCCCCAGAGCAACAGATGCTACAGAGACAGGAGAGAGAGGCAGAGGAGGGTGAGTAGGGCCCTAAAACATCAGTCCTATGTTTTTGCCCGATTCTGTATTTTTTTTCCTTCTCCAGTTTTTGTTTTAGACAGTTTTTCCCCACACCGTTTTAATAGAAAAAAATTAATAAACAAATTGGATGTTTTAAGTCCACAACAGTGTTTAAACCACATCAGGAGACTACTTTTGAGGTCTGGGGAAAAAATGTAAGACATTTTGAATTTTGGGTGTAGTTACCCTTTAATGCAAGTGTGCACCAGCCAGAGACTGTTGTTTTGTTAGCTGTGTTTCTGTAGCGGTCATGTGATTGCAGAGTTTGCAAAACAAATGGCCACTGGATTGATGCAAATAATCATGATGTCCAATTCGGGGCGGCAGGTAGCTTAGTGGTTAAGAGCGTTGTGCCAGTAACCGAAAGGTCGCTGGTTCTAATCCCCGAGCTGACTAGGTGAAAAATCTGTCGATGTGCCCTTGAGCAAGGCACTTAACCCTAATTGCTCCTGTAAGTCGCTCTGGATAAGAGTGTCTGCTAAATGACTAAAATGTAAATGTAATGTCATTCTGCCAGGTAGACATAGGCTACTTTGCGGTTAACATTTCATTGAGAAAGTTTTGGGGAAAGCCTTTCCAGCTCTACCAGAAGAAGGTTATCATTAGCATAATCGCTAACGGCTACACAAAGTGGACACACAGACAGTCATTCCTGTGCCGTTTTCAGAATGTTGCAGGAAAATATGAATCACTGGTACATTTTGTTAATGTCTTATGGTCCTCTGTAGCTCAATTGGTAGAGCATGGCGCTTGTAATGCCAGGGTAGTGGGTTTGATCCCCGGGACAACCCATACGTAAAAATGTATGCACACATGACTGTAAGTCGCTTTGGATAAAAGCGTCTGCTAAATGGCATATTATTATTATGATTATCTTGGGCAAATTAATGCATTTTCGAATAAGTTCAATACATTTAGTCGATTTCCTACTAAGTTCAATACATTTTTGAATATTGTTGAATTCCATTTTAATGTCTGGACACACACACACACACACACGCACGAGTTTCTACAACAGGCTCTATTTTCCCTCTCACACCCTTCCCCTAGCCTGGTTACCCTCTCACACCCTTCCCCTAGCCTGGTTACCCTCTCACACCCTTCCCCTAGCCTGGTTACCCTCTCACATCCTTCCCCTAGCCTGGTTACCCTCTCACACCCTTCCCCTAGCCTGGTTACCCTCTCACACCCTTCCCCTAGCCTGGTTACCCTCTCACATCCTTCCCCTAGCCTGGTTACCCTCTCACACCCTTCCCCTAGCCTGGTTACCCTCTCACATCCTTCCCCTAGCCTGGTTACCCTCTCACACCCTTCCCCTAGCCTGGTTACCCTCTCACACCCTTCCCCTAGCCTGGTTACCCTCTCACACCCTTCCCCTAGCCTGGAGTAGCACATGCTCCAACACCTTCCATCAGTAGGAAAGTGAGATACAAACACACTGCTGCTATCTTCCTAACCTTGCTTCATCTTTCTTCCTAGCTGCCATGGCTAAAGGTGTATCATCAGAGGTGGACCTAGCCCCTCCGGTCTCCCAAAACGGGTCTACTCCCGGCAAGAAGACCTCCGTTAACGCTTCTGTCCCCTTACCGGAACTGGAGTACCGGGAAAAAGGGAGAGACGGGAACAGCAAGGAGCGGGAGGGCAAACAACAACAACAACACACCATAGGAATCAACAACAACAGTATCCTCCACACACTGGACTCCACATTACAGGAGACAGAGTATATGGAGAACATGGGGGGGAAGAGACTGAACAACGACCTCGGAGGAGGAGAGGGCGCACACACAGGCAGCACACACACTCCCAAAGAGGAGATGGGGGGAACGGGAGGAGGAGGAGGAGGAGGAGGAGGAGGAGGGAAGAACTACAAAAACACCAGCGGAGGCGGTGGGGTCACCAACTCCTCACCTCGGAATCACAGCTCCACCAATGGGAGCGTGCCGTCGGCTGGCTCGTCCAATAAGAACGAGAAGAAGCAGAAGTCTGCGGGGAAGGGAGCAGCCAATCAGAAGGATCCCGTGGAGAACTGCATTCCCAACAATCAACTGGGCAAGCCAGACGCTCTCGTGCGGTAAGAAAAACACAATCATAGCCAACGTACGCACACACATTCATACAGACGGGCACAGAGACATGTGCAGACCTACACGGGGAGAGAAGACAGGTTTCGCACCCCCCTTGGTGGCGTTTCAGGCCGCCTACATGGCAGTGGTCGCGTGTGCCACGTCAACAACTGTGCCTGTCGAGCGTCAGATCTCATACGATGTGTGTAGCTGTTATGTTAAACACCTGTTCATGTGTTTCTGAGTTCTGGCAGGAAACTGCAATGTGGTGAAAAGCTGAAACATCGATCCTCTCTTCCCTTTCCCTCTCTAGGCTGGAGCAGGAAGTGAAGCGTCTGAAGGCAGACCTGCAGGCGAGCCGTCAGTTGGAGTCAGAGTTACGTTCTCACCTCTCCTCCCTGACCACTCAGGACAGGAGTCTGCGCTCAGAGCTGGGCCAGCTGCGACAAGACAACGAGATGCTGCAGAACAAGTAAGAGAACACACACACACACACACACACACACACACACACACACACACACACACACACACACACACACACACACCACACACAGACTCACACACACACACACACACACACTCGAGGCCTGGGACAAAGCCAAGATTCTCAAACTATTAGCGCGTTGGGGGGATCGGCCTGAGCATAATCACTAATCTTGATCACATAACAAGTGTTTTTATTTTGGATGCAAGGTGATCTGTATATCAGGAATTCTGATTCTGGATTCTGTATTCCCCTGGAACATACAGATTCATTCTAACTTAGAAACTCAGGGAACAAACTTTTTGGCTGTGTGTGTGCATCTCTAACTGTGTGTGTGTGTTTGTGTGTGAAGGCTCCACAGTGCTGTGCAGGCCAAGCAGAAGGACAAGCAGACCATCTCCCAGCTAGAGAAGAGACTGAAGGCAGAGCAGGAGGCCCGGGCCCTGGCGGAGAAACAACTGGCCGACGAGAGGAAGAGGAAGAAGATGGAGGAAGCCACCGCTGCCCGGGCTGTAGCACTAGCAGCAGTCTCCAGGTATCCTGCTGTCTGTTTTGGATTTCCCCTCTCCTTCTATCCTCTGCTCTCTCCTTCTATCCCCTCTCCCCTCTCCTTCTATCCCCTCTCTCTCTATCCCACCTCTCCCCCCTCTCCTTCTATCATCCCCCTCTCCCCCCTCCCTGCTATCCCCCTCTCCCCCCTCTCACTCTATCCCCCTCTCCCCCCTCTGCCGTTCTGATCGCCCATCTCGCTCCCCTCTAATCCCCCTCCTGCTATCCCGCTCTCCTTCTATCCCCTCTCTCCGCTCCTCCAGCTCCCTTCTAATCCCCTCTCCCGCCTATCCTTCTAATCCCCTCGCCCCCCTTCTACCCTCCCCCTCGCTCCTTCTATCCCCTCTCCCCCCTCTCCTTCTAATCCCCTCTCCCCCCCCTCTCCTCTAATCCCCTCTCTCTTCTATCCCCTCTCATCCCCACCCCTCTCCCCCTCTCCTTCTATCCCCTCTCTCCTTCTATCCCCTCTCCCCCCTCTCCTCTAATCCCTCTCCCGCCCCCTCCCCCTCCCTCTCTCTATCCCCTCTCTCCTTCTACCTCCCCTCTCCCCCCTCTCCTTCTATCCCCTCTCTCCTGCTAACCCCTCTCCCCCCTCTCCTCTATCTATCCCCCTCTCCTTCTATCCCCTCTCCCCCCCCTCCTTCTATCCCCTCTCCCCCCTCTCCTTCTATCCCTCTCTCCTCTCAACCCCTCTCCCCCCCTCCTTCTATCCCCTCTCCCCCCCCTCCCACCCTCCCTTCTATCCCCTCTCTCCTTCTATCCCCTCTCCTTCATCCCCTCGTCGCTGCCCACCTCTCCTTCTATCCCCTCTCCCCCCTCTCCTTCTATCCCCTCTCCCCCCTCGTCCTTCTATCCCCCTCCGCCCCCTCTTCCCCCCCCCCTCTCCCACCCCCCTCATCCTACGCCCCTCTCCTCACCCTCCCACCCCCATCCCCGCCCCCCATCTCCTATCCCTCTCCTCCTCTCCTATCCCCTCTCCTCCTCTACCCTCTCTTCTTCTATCCCCCCTTCTATCTCCCTCCGCTCTCATCCTTCTCTCCACTCTCTCCTTCTATCCGCCTCTCCCCTCTCTCCTTCCCCCTCTGCTCCTTCTATCTCCCCGCCCCTCTGCCTTCTCCCCTCTCTCATATCCCCCTCCCCCCCCTCCTTCTATCCGCCTCTCCTCTGCGCCTTCTTCCTCGTCTTCTCCTTCCATCTCCCTCTCCATTCCTATCCCCTTCCCTCCCTGTCTCCTTCCATCCCTCTTGCCTCTTCCCTCTCGTCCTTCTATCCCCGCCCCTCTCTCCTTCTACCCCCTCCCCGCCCCTCTCTCCTTCTATCCCCTCTCTCCCCTCCTTCTGTCCCCTCTCTCCCCTCCTTCTATCCCCTCTTCCCTCTCTCCTTTTATCCCCTCTCCCCTCTCTCTTTCTATCCCTTCCTCTCTCTCTGTTATACAGATATATTGAATAGTGTTTCTTCCCCCTGTAACTCCTTTTGTCTCTGTCAGGGGTGAGTGTACTGACTCCCTGCGTGGTCGGATCAGAGAGTTGGAGACGGAGTGTAAGAAACTCGGCATCGACATGAAACTCAAAGAAGAACACATTAGAGAGCTGGAGGGGAAATGCCAGGTGAGTTACATTACTTTACATACTTCCTTCAATTTTAGAAATGCATCCTTTGTATGAGCTCACTGTCTCATAAATGATGTATCAGGAGAACCTAAGCAGGGTGCCGCTGATTCCTTACTGGGAACGTTGCTGAAACTAGACTGTGGCTGAAAACGTCTTCCTCTTATTCCTTCTCTTCATTTTCATTTGAGTAATTTCTGTTCCAGAGCGACTTACAGTAGTGAGTTCGTACATTTTCTTAATTTTTCATACTGGACCCCCGTGGGAATCGAACCCACAACCCTGTCGTTGCTAGCGCAATGCTCTACCAACTGAGCCACACTGGACCCCTTATGAGGAGTTAGCTTGTGTTTTCAAATGCTCATGATGAGGTATGGCTGTTTAATTTCTATTCTCTCTCTCTTTCTCGCTTTCTCTCTCCCCCCCTCCTCTCTCTCTCCTCTCTCTCCCCCCTCCTCTCTCTCTCCCCCCTCCTCTCTCTCTTCCTCTCTCTCTCCCCCCCTCCTCTCTCTCCCCCCTCTCTCTCTGCCCCCTCCTCCTCTCTCTCGCCCTCCCGCCCCCCTCTCTCTCCTCCCTCTCCCTCCCTCTCCCCCCTCCTCTCTCTCTCCCTTCCTCTCTCTCTCCTCTCTCTCTCTCTCCCCCTCTCTCTCAGCCCCCTCCTCTCTCTCTCTCTCTCCCCCCTCCTCTCTCGTTCCCCCTTCTCCCCCTCCTGCTCTCTCCCCCCCCTCCCTCTCTCTCTCCCCCCTCCCTCTCTCCCCTCACCCCGCCTCCCCCCCTCCTGCTCTCCCCACCCCTCCCCCCTCCCCTCCTCCTCTCGCTGCCCTCACCCCCCTCTCCTCCTCCCCCCCTCCGTCTCTCCCCCTCCCTCTCCTCTCCCCCTCCTCCTCTCCCCCCCCCCCCTGCTCCTCTCCTAACCCCCCTCCCCCTACCCCTTCTCTCCTCCCTCCCTCCCTTCCCCTCCTCTCCCCCCCTCCTCTCTCTCTCCCTCCCCCCTCCTCTCTCCCCTTCCCCTCTCTGGGCCCCCCAGCCCTTTTCTCCCTCCTCCCCTCTCTACCTACCCCCTCCCTCTTCTCCTCCCCCTCCCTCTCCTTCCCCCCCTCTCTCTCCCACCACCCTCCTCGCCTCCTCCCTCCCCTCATCCCTCTCTCCCCTCTCCCCCCTCCCTCCCTCCTCTCAAATCTCTACCCCCCCTCTCCTCCCCCCTCCTCCTCTCCCTCCCTCCTCCCTCTCTCTAGGAGCTGCGTAAGTACAAGGAGAATGAGAAGGACATGGAGGTGTTGATGACAGCGCTGTCAGCCATGCAGGATAAAACCCAGCACCTGGAGAACAGCCTGTCTGCTGAGACCAGGATCAAACTAGACCTCTTCTCTGCCCTTGGGGACGCCAAGAGACAGCTGGAGATTTCACAAGGTACAGTTCCCTTACCTGACCCACTACCACAGTCCTACAGCCACTGGCATCTAGCCGAGCCGTTGTGTTCATAGACTCTAGGATCAAACTCTGACAGCTGGAGATTCCACAAGGTACACTAGCATTTACCTCAGGGTTTTATCTACCATTACATAAACCGGGATGCTCCAGAAGGTACACTAGGTGCTCTGCTACTCGACCCAGAGATGTAAACATGAAGACAATAGCAACAAAGTGAGAAGACACATTTTCTACTGTCATCTAACCCTCACCTCTCTCTCTCTCTCCTCTCTCCTCTCTCTCTCTCTCTCTCTCTCCCCCCCCCCCCCCCCCCCCCCCCCAGGTCAGATCCACCAGAGAGAGCAGGAGATAGCAGAGTTGAAGCAGAAGATAGCTGAGGTGATGGCGGTGATGCCCAGTATCTCCTACAGCAACGACATCAGCAGCCTCAGCCCCGTTACACCACACTACTCCTCCAAGTTCATGGACAATAGTCCCTCCTCCCTGGATCCCAACGCTTCTGTCTACCAGCCGCTCAAGAAGTGACACCAACACGCACATTAATACACACACATTAATACACAAGAATACAGATTTACAAAGATAGCATACGTAGTCACATCCACTCATTCTCATACATACAAAGACACACAAACACTTCTGATCATGTTTTTGGTCGTGTTTTTTTGGAAGCGATTTGGAAATGATCTCGGAGCTGTCAAGTACTAGCCTCAAATAAGTGTTGGTCATGTTTTGGTTTTGGTTGTGTTTTGGTTGTGTTTTTAGAACCAGTTGCGGTCGGAGTTCTGTTATTTTCAGTTTGTTCCCATGGTCCATCCTTAGTTTTCTGTGTGTTGTGTAAATCTACAGTAGGGAAGATGTTTATGTTTTGGGATTGAGCCATTCTGATTTAACTGGTAAGAGAGACATAAAGGGACATCAGGTTGACAAGGGCTCCATCCCAAATGGAACCCTATTCCCTATATAGGGCACTACTTTTGACCAGGGCCCATAGGGAGTTCTCTGAGGGTAGATAGAGGCAGATGAGGACTGTCTGGTTAGTTGGTATTAATGTCTAGAAAGACCCATAATATAGTCTCTCTCTCTCTCTCTCTCTCTCTCTCTCTCTCTCTCTCTCTCTCTCTCTCTCTCTCTCTCTCTCTCTTTCAGTCAGTGCTTCATGCTCTCTCTCTCTCTCTCTCTCTCTCTCTTTCAGTCAGTGCTTCATGCTCTCTCTCTCTTTCAGTCAGTGCTTCATGCTCTCTCCTCTTTTTTTCCTGTTTCTTTCTCTCTCTCTATCAGCAGATTTTGACCTAGTAATTGTATGATGGGACTATTATCCTACTCTACATGAGAGGAAGCTGAAACGTTTTAAGTGGTACCTTCTGTGAATTTCATAATGAATGAAAAGTACTTTGTCAATGTTTTGGTATTATCACCATGACTTAAGTGTGATTGTTTTTTTAAACAACACATTTCAGTTTAGTTATGACGATAACAATGGTAATGTACATTTTTTCTGTACCAATAATCTTGGAAAGATCGACAATTTGTACATCACTCCATTTTGAAAACGGATAACTCAAATTCACGCATGTCAATGCTGGAGTAACTGACTCCAAACAACGTCCGGGATTATCAATGAACTCAAACACTCTTGATTTCTGGCGTTTCAACACTGATTCAAGAAATGCACAAACCTTTCAGAATTGGATTGTCAATAGAGAAGACCTGGTACTGTCTAAAGGTTAAAGCTATGACCTGGTACTGTCTAAAGGTTAAAGCTATGACCTGGTACTGTCTAAAGGTTAAAGCTATGTCATCTGTTTGCTGCAAACGCACTCAAACCTGTCTTTCCTTTTGGACCAAATTAGAATCTGTTGTTAGGCCGTATGACTAAAACCCTACTGGATTTAATGATGTCTAGGGAACTGATATTTACCAGTTGTCAATTTCACTGTGCCTTGCAATTCCTTTCTTTGAAAGTAGTTAGTATAATGGGTTACTTTGCCAATCTTGGTATAGGACCCTCCCCCCAGGCTGTGTCTCAATAGTGTGATCTTGGTATAAGACCCTCCCCCCGGGCTGTGTCTCAATAGTGTGATCTTGATATAGGACCCTCCCCCCGGGCTGTGTCTCAATAGTGTGATCTTGATATAGGACCCTCCCCCCCAGGCTGTGTCTCAATAGTGTTATCTTGATATAGGACCCTCCCCCCAGGCTGTGTCTCAATAGTGTGAGCTTGATATAGGACCCCCCCCCCCCCCCCCCCCCCAGGCTGTGTCTCAATAGTGTGAGCTTGATATAGGACCTCCCCCCCAGGCTGTGTCTCAATAGTGTGAGCTTGATATAGGACCCTCCCCCCCAGGCTGTGTCTCAATAGTGTGATCTTGCTTCCTTTTCATTGTACCCTTTCCTCCATGATCTGTGATCTGGCAAGTGGAAGCAACATATGGTGAAAGCCTATCCAGGCCTTTCACCTATCATTAATAATGAAGGAAAAGGAGATGAAGGAAGGAAGCCAGTATAGTGGATTGAGACATCGCCCATGCAGCCCCAGTCTCCTTTACGTTAGGCCCCTTACTCTTAGACACAGCCGTTGTTGTGTTGTCTGAAAAAGTCAAGGAAACAATAGATTTGTATAGGAAGTAGGAATGAACCTGGTCTGCCAAACATCTATTAACTATGTCTGGGGCCTAAAGTTTTACCTGGTCAGGCCAAGTGGTCAGTAGAACAAACTCCAGGCCCTTATGTCCACTACTACGGTGGCCCAGAGTGGACATCTATCTGTTTACAACCAGGGTTGGGGTCAATTCCATTTCAATTCCAGTCTATTCAGGAAGTAAATTGGAATCTTTCTGAATTGAAATGGAATTGACCCCAACCCTGTTTACAACCATGTACATTATTACATACCGAGGAATGTTCTAGTATTTCAGTTCAAAGTGCCAAGTTTCGGTGTTTCATATTACATATCCCTCCATTCATTAGATTGATGTATCTCTAGCTTGCATTAGGTTTTGATAAAAGCATCAGAACACACATTGTTGTGCTCATGTATTTGACATGTAGTTTTTGACATTCTGTTCTGATTTAGGTTGATCAGAAAAGCGACTACAGTAGTGGTTAGGATTGACTCACTGCGTTGTTGATTTGTTGCAGACGTTTTTCTCTTGCATCATTGTTTGAATTCTCTCCCATCTCTTTCTAGCCTGATCCCAGATCTGTTTCTGTTCATGCCAACTCATTATGGAATTGTCATGCCAAACAATTGGCTTGACAACTACATTGAGTTGGCAAGAGCACAAACCGATCTGGGATCAGGCTAATCTCTTTCCAACAGGGATGATGATGATGATGATGATGGTGTGAAGTTTTGTATTGGGAAGTTACACCCTGCCCACTGGGCACACACTTGTTGAATCGACGTTGTTCCCCTGTAATTGCAATGAAATTACGTTGAGCCAACGTGAAATAGACGTTCAGTTGACGTCTGTGCAGTTTGACCATATGCCGTGTTTTTTGCTGTAGGGTGAAGTTGCCCCCTATGCACTGATCTTGGGTCCGTTTTACATTTCCCCACTATTGTTAAAGTTAGGATTAGGGGAGCGGAATCTGATCCTGGATCGGTACCTAGAGGAAACGTGACCTCGGCGCCCTGTTTTCTCATGTATCCTACATGGAAAGTATTGGTGTGGATCACAATAATGGACTTGTGACCTGTTTTTGAAGATGTTCTACATGTTTTTAGTGGGAAAGGGAAAAAGTGTTTTGTTTCCTCTGTTTTCGTTGTTCCACCATGTTGTTTTCTCTCTATCTCAGAGTGATGATGATGATGATGTCGGCTGCGTCCAGACTCCTCTCACTTTGGGGCCATCACCTGGAATTAAAAACATAATCTTGCAGGCGATGATGATGCAAGCTGTTTGAGAACAATCTGTGTTTTGTATTTCTTCCTCTCTCAGATATTCACATCCCAGATGTTGACGTGTACCTATTCATCAGGCCCTTGTTAAGACTACTAATGCACCAGAGCATTGAAACGTTGTACCTCCAATGAGTGGGAAACTTGAGGAGAAACCTAGAGTTCCTATTTGTCTATGAACATACCTTCTTCCTCTGGTTTACTTAAATACTGAATACAGATTAGACATTTATGCAGCAGGATTTAAGCAAAAGTTTATTAGCACAAGGTGGCGACAGTACATTATTTTTTTGTTTTTAACTCATGACTGTTGCACTTAGATAAAAAAAAAAAAAAAAAAACATTGGGACAAGTAGACTCGCATCTTTGTTATCCCTTGTTGATATCACTTGTTGCAGATAACAGGTAATAAAGCAAAGGCAGTTATTTTTTATCAAACGCCGCTTGACACTATTTTGACCTCTTGGGATTCCCTCGCGCTTGACGTACGCCTGCATTGGGATTGCCCATTCGGTTGATTGGCAGATATAGCACCGCCCACTGGGTCTAAATTTAAAGTCGTCCAAAGAATCAAAGCCAACAACATTCTTGGAGCTCTGCGGTCTAGAAAGACTACAAACACTTTGTCAAGTTTCCTGGTCCTAAAGGCGGCGATGGATGCCATAAGGTCGGCTGGAAGAGCTATCATTCGAAGTCCAAGTATAGCGAAACGGTCTTGGAATTCGGGCAAACATAAAAGTAAGATTTGTCTGAAGTGAAAACTTCCTGTAATATTTGCTTCACACATGCATTGTAGTGAACAAAGCATTTGACAAAACGTTGTTTTAGTAGTGTGAACACAGCGAATTATTAACACATTTGTATGTTTGTGGGTCAAATGTTCATGATACGCCGAATGTATTGTAGTTTGTCTACTGTATAACACTTGTTACATCCAGTGCAACATTTTCATCAATCATATCCATTGCATGTTTTTCATTAGTTCACTCACTAGGCTAGTCTACTGTTGTCATGATTTGTGGCACAATTAGGCCTAATCAATTAAGTAAAAAACGAACACGTAGCAACCACGTGTTTCCTATCAAATTAACCAGGTTGCAATGTGAAGGGATTTCGACAAGAATGTCCTCAGAACTGGCGGTGTAGGCTATCCAGGTGATCCACTATCCTCAAGTATTCCCAATTTATGAGCTCAGAGCCTGAAATGCACCACCCTTGATAACCATATTCCTCTCATGCAATGACCTAATTGCAATGTTTTGGGTAACAGTACTCTATTTATACTCTATTACAGTCCATCAATTGTGACACCAATGTTTGAATCAAGTCTAGCCTTCTCTCGGTAGTTTAAATGTCCGTGTAGCATTTTAAGCTCCTTTCCATTGGAATAGTTTCTCACCCAGTTTGGAACCGGAACACGACACCTGTGGCTGTTTTGAACGCTAATGTAACAACTACACGGCACCGTATGGCATAAAAAGGTCAGTTGGCCACCCTATTCGCTACATAGTACACTATTTTTGATCAGAGCCCTATGGGACCTGGTCAAAAGTAGTGCACTATATAGAGAATGGGATGCATATTGTATCCTACATCTCACTTGATCCTGGGCGAGGGGGTGATTCGGTGGCGGCCGAGGAAACTATAACTACTTATCACTATAACCATGGTAACAGCTACTACAGAAGTGCTCCAGGTCAGTAAATCCACACACAGATGATACATTTGATTGACCAGATACTCAAGTGACCGCTCTAACAACGAACAGAAACGTCTTTAAAAAAAATGGAAAGCGGAGATCAGGTGGGACCATTCTAGCCAATGAGAGGGCAGATACGCATGTGATCAACAGGCACAACTCTGATATAAAGTGCTTTTTTTTTCTCTCAGTTATTATAATCAGTACACTCGTAACAACCTAAGCATTACGAAACTTCTATTCGATCAAATAAGCCGCACATAGCAAATAAACCTTTTTAAATGTTTCGTTAACCACATTCGACACTCATTAACCTCCATACAAAAACTCCTCGCTTGGTGAGCTTAAAAAAAAAAATACAGAAACGCCACCACCTGCCGGAGAAGACAGATTTTGGGCCCAGTTATCCCTCTTTTAACTCTTCCCCTCTGGTCCACAGCATGGCTGGGTTCAGATTCAAGTTTGGGAACTGCTGGTGCTTCTTCCATTGTTAACACACACACACACATTTATAGGCACACTTACTGATGTTGGTTTTATATAAACAACTCATGAAATCATGATCAAGTTAACACAAACTGTGATGTAGAGGTAGGTAATGTTGATTTAACTGTGATGTAGAGCTACAGGTGACGAGTGACCTGTTTTCCAGTGTCTAATCTACAGTAGGCTTTCTGAATCTGTTCTCCAGGTTGGGGCAAACGTCCTCATCACTACTGATCCATATCGTTCAGCCTGCAGGACTGGCCATGGTCCGGCATGTAGACTGGGGACAATATCTTCCTTTGGATAGAAGTTGCCCTCAGGCACAGATGTATAATCCATTTACAGTCTCCAAAAATCCTAAACTCAACCAGGGGAGAAAATGCCAAAGTGACCTTTTTTAGATTAAACTTCTGTTTTTCATTTTTCTCTGTAACGCCCAGGGGCAATGTATACAACACCTCACCCTCCTTTTCCTCTTGTCCCGTGTCAAACAGATTGTTTTTGGGTTAGAGAGGGTTTTTAGAAATTGGTTGAGGTAAAGCCACCTTGGCAGAATTTTCCACATCCTCTGGTGCATGGACCATTTGAGCAATATTGCTCACTTTTTGAGTCCACATCACTTCCATATTACCGACAGTATCGTTTGTCCTCTTTCCCATAACCTCTTATTTTACGTACAGCTTATTCCAATAGTACATACCGTAGAATTACGAACTATAATACTAGAGTCATTTATCATATTTATCAATTCAATCATATTTGTTCAGTCACTCCTATGGTATATATACCTACTTCTGTGAAATCCATTTAGTTCTAACCCCCATTCTTATAGTACGTGTTGACTTCTAGGTGTAGGATGTAGTTGACAGAGTTCTGAGAATTCGCTATTATTGTTTGTTCAGTCATTCATATCCACCTTGAAATCCCTGGATTCTGATTGGCTGTTGTGTGTTGATAGAGGGGCTGTGATGTTTCCTGTTGCTGTGGTAACATTTCTGTTATCTTTGGTCTGCGTTGGGACAGAGTGGTCGACCTCCCTGCGTTATCGCGTGTGTCACTATAGTCTAACCTATAGTTCCAACTTACATTCAGAAACCTCACATGAACTTGAACCCTCTGGTCTTCTAAGAAGCAGTGTTTTCATTGGGCATAACCCTCAGGTCTTCTAAGAAGCAGTGTTTTCATTGGACATAGCCCTCAGGTCTTCTAAGAAGCAGTGTTTTCATTGGAAGTTAGCCCTGCCAGAAGTTAGACCCTTGTCCAATGTCCCTAGATAACATAGACTTTATGTAGCTCAGTTGGTAGAGCATGGCGCTTGCAACGCCAGGGTTGTGGGTTCGTTTCCCACGGGGGGCCAGTATGGAAATGTATGCACTCACTTAACTGTAAGTCGCTCTGGATAAGAGCGTCTGCTAAATGACAAATGTAAAATGTAGACCTAAAGTGATCCACTGGGTCTATATGGCAGAAACTCATATCCTAGCCTTCTCCGTTTCTCCCTCTACTGTTCCCCCTAATTTCTCTCTCTCCCTCTTCCATTCATCATTGTATCCCTCATACTTGAAGACTCCCTCACTGACCCCTGAACCTGAAGCCCTCCATCTTGTTATCTGGTCATCAGGCAGTCAGTCAGGGTCCCATGCTGCTGCCTGCTCTTGCTGGGACCTCCTCTCAAACTGCACGTTACTACACACACACGCCATACAGTGATGTCTGAGTGAATGATGTTACGGTCATTAGTCCGAATCACGGTTAACAAACCAGAAAACAGCGGGGACTGTTTCTAGTTTTAAATATAACCGTTCTGGGGATGGTGTGAATGTGTTAGCGCTCGTCCCGCGTGTGAGAGAGAACGTCATTGTGCGCGTGTCTGCATCAAATCAAATTGTATTTGTCAAATACACGTGTTTAGCAGATGTTATAGCAGGTGTAGTGAAATGCTTGGGCTTCTAGCTCCGACAGGGCAGTAATATCTAACAATTTCACAACCTATACCCAATACACACAAAACTGGTAAGGAATGGGATTTAAGAATATATACATATATGGACAAGCAGTGACAGAGCGGCATGGACTAAGATACAGTAGAATATTATAGAATACAGTATATACATATGAGATGAGTAGTGCAAGATATGTAAACATTATTAAAGTGACAAACTCCCGAATGGCGCAAGTGGTCTAAGGCACTAGCTGTGCCACTAGAGATCCTGGTTCGAATCCAGGCTCTGTCGTAGCCGGCCGCGACCGGGAGACCCATGGGGCGGCGCACAATTGGCCCAGTGTCATCCAGGGTAGGGGAGGGAATGGCCGGCAGGGATGTAGCTCAGTTGGTAGAGCATGGCGTTTGCAACGCCAGGGTTGTGGGTCCAGATTCCAGTAGTGAAAAAAATAAATTAAAAAATGTATGCACTCACTAACTGTAAGTCGCTCTGGATAAGAGCGTCTGCTAAATGACTAAAATGTAAATGTGGTGTTCCATTTCTTAAAGTGGCCAGTGATTTCAATAGGCAGCAGCAGCCTCTAATGCTAGTGATAGCTATTTAACGGTCTGATGGCCTTGAGATAGAAGCTGTTTTTCATTCTCTCGGTCCCAGCTTTGATGCACCTGTACTGACCTCGCCTTCTGGATGATAGCGGGGTGAACAGGCAGTGGCTCGGGTGGTTGATGTCCTTGATGATGTTTTTGGCCTTCCTGTGACATCGGGTGCTGTAGGTGTCCAGGACCCAGTTGCACAGGGCGGGGTTCAGACCCAGGGCCCCGAGCTTAATCATGAGCTTGCAGTGTACTATGGTGTTGAATGCTGAGCTATAGTCAATGAACAGCATTCTTACATAGGTATTCCTCTTGTCCAGATGGGATAGGGCAGTGTGATGGCGATCGCATCGTCTGTGGATCTATTTGTGTGGTAAGCAAATTGAAGTGGGTCTAGGGTGACGGGTAAGGTAGAGGTGATATGATCCTTGACTAGTCTCTCGAAGCACTTCATGATGACAGAGGTGAGTGCTACAGGGCGATAGTCATTTAGTTCAGTAACCTTTGCTTTCTTGGTTACAGGAACAATGGTGGCCATCTTGAAGCATGTGGGGTCAGCAGACTGGGAAAGGGAGAGATTGAATATGTCCGTAAACACACCAGCCAGCTGGTCTGCGCATGCTCTGAGGATGCGGCTAGGGATGCCGTCTGGGCCGGCAGCCTTGCGGGGGTTAACATGCTTAAATGTCTTAATCACGTCGGCCACTGAGAAGGAGAGCCCACAGTCCTTGGTAGTGGGCCTCGTCAGTGGCACTGTGTTATCCTCAAAGCGGGTGAAGAAGGTGTTTAGCTTGTCTGGAAGCGAGACGTGTGAGAGAGAGAGAGAGAGAACGTCAGTGTGTGTGTGAGAGAGAACGTCTGTGTGCGCGTGTCTGCATCTGTGTGTGAATAGCAGTGTGCACTAGATCTCCAGTGTGCACTAGATCTCCACTAGATCTCCAGTGTGCACTAGATCTCCAAGGAAATCTCTGCTAACAGAGTTCTGGAAGGCTACAGAAATGCAGAACAGATAAGGAATGAGGGAATGGCCTTTAATAGTTAAAATTACTCACTGTCCCCCTGTTTGGCTTTCTGTCTTTCTCCTTCAAAACAACGTGAAAGTAGGAGGAAGTTACCTACGGTGAAGGTTAGGTTTAATTGGCTACCCATCCACATCGCTCCCCCCCCCCCCCCCCCCCCCATAACGTTTCTTCTCCATGATGAATGTAGCTAGCGATAGATAGCAGTAGGCTAGAAGTCGTCAGGCAAAGGTTTCATAGAGGGTAGCTGGTCCTGGATCTGTCACTATATGGATAACTTACACCAGGCTAAAAAGAATGAAAACATTGCTGGGACTATGGAACGGACATCTCTTATCATTGCTTGTTAAAGTTAGTGTACCAGACTATTCATTTTCCACTCTCCTTTCTCTCTCTCTCTCAATATTTCTTCCCCTTTCTCCCTCTCCTTAATATTTTGCCCTCTTTTACAGGTCAGCTATAGGTTAGTTCTGAATGAAAATATTTACTTTTGCGTTCAGTTCTTCCACCCTGACCGATAGTGTTTTTGAAACAGTTTCACCTTTTTCAAGTAATTTTTTTACCTTTTACAGGACTTTGTTTTGAATATCTTTAGCGCCACAAATTCACACGACAGACCAACACTGACGCAATACCAAACACTATCTCAGAGACAAACGGATAGATGTAGCCACCTGTATCGACCTTATACATAATATTGACCCTGTTCTCAAACATGATTTGAAAATAACATCTGAACGTTGACCCACCTAGCTGCTTGGACCTGGACGGATACATGTGAGAACAACCTGGAGGTCATGACCTACTACTGATCTTGACCCCATAGAGGATGTATCTCTATGGTTCAATCAAAGTTATTCTAGTTTTGATTTAATATTAGTTTTTATTTCTATTAGTTTTTAGATTTTTATTTGAAATTCAGTTTAGTTTCAGTCAGTTTTCTGACTTGATTTACTGGTTATTTTGTTTCAGGTTGATACACACTTTATGTTTTGGTTTTAATATTATTTAGTGTTTGGGGCAGAAAGTAGCCGTGGGGGGCTAGGAGCCATTTATGTGTTTTTTGGGGATGTCACTTCTTGCCACTAGGGGGCAGTAATGCATAAGGAGAAGGGGCCATAGACTTGGCTAGACAACATCTCTGTATCTGTGTCATGATGGTGGCTGTGGGAGCATGGGCTGCACCATTGAGGCAATCTCCATCTTGAAATAGTAAATTTTCATCGGCTGATCCTTCCTTATGACACGGCTGTCATGACTCCAACCGGGTCATCAGGTCATGCCAACCGGGTCATCAGGAGGGATCAGCCAATGAAGTTGGACGTCCTGCCCAGTTGACTAAATAAAAATGGCGAAAGCCCGCAATGGCGCTGCCCATGCTAACTCTGGCTTTTGGGCACGTTTCTGTTCAACCAAACAAGATGTTCTGGTTCATCTTCAAGAAGATTCTGCGTTCCAGAGAGGTGGTCGTTCGGTTTCTCAAGCCTGGTGACAGTTGTCCTACAGACAGAATATTCTCTCCACGAACGCTTAGGATGCAGGGGAAGAAACCAGTGCCACAGGGCACAGCTTTGGATAAACAGCAATCCTTGCCTGCCAGGACTGGAGAGGTGACTTTGTAAACATGCCCACCTTTACCTCTTCCAGGTATTTCCGCAGCTCACACAGGGCACTTAATGCCCTGCCAGGTTGACCCTCCGGCTGGACAGTGACCTCAGACACAATCTTCGATACAAGTTTAGCTATATTTCTGAAGCACTGGTCGAGATGCTTGCTTGATTCAAAGTGCTGGCATCTTGCTTGGGTCCTGCTGCTCCACGGCTGTATTCTCTGATTTGCTGAAGTACAAAAGACTGCTTCCCTCATCAGTGTTGAGCGAAGTGCCTCGCTCTGCAAGCTGCTGCAGAGCGAGGATTTGAAGTTGTCTGTCAGAGGAGTCAGTATGCATGCGGAGCGCTCACGCAGTGACTTCAGGAGGACCTGTGCCGACTGTTTTGCAACAGTAGTTGACTGCACGTGTGACTCGAGGTTGAGAAGGCACGGCACCACATCAAACAACGACTGGCTGTCAGTTTGAAGTTGGTGTTGATTTACGAACTGCTCCGGCAAACTTCACAAGCTGCTCAAGCTTGTCACGCTCCATGCTCGCCCTCGGATTTCTTCGGTGTTGTCTAGTGATGGATAGTGATGGCTAGTGAAAATGATGCACAAGCTAGGCCTATTTGTAACATCGCCATCTACTGGCAGCATTTTCCCGCCAGATTCAGAAGCTCTTAAACCCCATTTAGATTTTTGGGCAAAGTTTAAAAGATAATATTACCATCAAATTCAGTTTACTATAATAACCTTGCTATGGTTGACCCCCCCCCCCCCCCCCCCCATTCCTTACAATCTTATAACCTCTAGAACTTCCTGAGAACTGGACAGACACGAGGGAGACTGTTGTAGATGGCATGACCTTTAACATCCGCCACCTAGGCATGACCCTGGTGGACCAGCCCAAAGGAGAGGACCTATCAGCAGCCGCTGTCAAGAGGATCGTTGCCACGGTGAGCTGTGATGTCATACAAGTAGGAGGGATTGGAAGTTCAAAGCACCGGAAGTTTCCGAAGCACTTGATTTTAGATGATATTTTTGGAGTTGCTCTTGATCAAATCAATCAAATCAAATCAAATCAAATCAAATCAAATCAAATTTTATTGGTCACATGCGCCGAATACAACAGGTGCAGACATTACAGTGAAATGCTTACTTACAGCCCTTAACCAACAGTGCATTTATTTTAAACAAAAAAGTAAGAAATAAAACAACAACAAAAAAGTGTTGAGAAAAAAAGAGCAGAAGTAAAAAATAAAGTGACAGTAGGGAGGCTATATATACAATAGAATAAAGTGACAGTAGGGAGGCTATATATACAGGGGGGTACCGTTGCATAGTCAATGTGCGGGGGCACCGGCCAGTTGAGGCAGTTGAGGCAATATGTACATGTGGGTAGAGTTAAAGTGACTATGCATAAATACTTAACAGAGTAGCAGCAGCGTAAAAAGGATGGGGTGGGGGGGCAGTGCAAATAGTCCGGGTAGCCATGATTAGCTGTTCAGGAGTCTTCAGGAGAGCTTCTGCTCTCAAGAACAGCATTTTCCTTAAGTGCTTCAAGATGACTGAATAACATGGCCTGCCCCTTAGAAACTATGATCAATTAGCTGACTCTTATTGGTATTATTATAGTGTTGATCATCTTAGATCTATCTATCATCAGTAATCATCTTACTTTTATTGTGATATAATTTTAAGATCTTCGTCTAATTATTGTTGTTATATTATCTCATATCGATCCAGGCCAAAGCCATTAGGAAGAATTGATTTGTAATGAATCTATGTTCTCTGTCATCAACTGTATCCCCTCCAGGCCAAAGCGGGAGGTAAGAAGCCTCAGAAGGTGTCTCTGAAGGTTTCTCCTCAGGGTATTATGCTTTACGACAGTCTGACCAACCAGCTACTAGACAACGTCTCCATATACAGGTAGGGGTGTGTGTGTGCTGTGCATCGTACCACAGTGGTTGCAAATTGTATTTGTGTTGTGTGACCTCTAACTTGACAAAAATACACAAATATTTACTCTGTGGATACAAACACATCTGGCCTACTTCTCAGACTTTTGTTTCTCAATGAAGGGAAACCCCAACGGGGGAGGGAGAGGTGGGAGAGGTGGGAGAGGTGGGAGAGGTGGGAGAGGGGGGGAGAGGGGGGAGAGGTGGGAGAGCGGGAATGTCTTTGAAAATACAGCTCCCTACAGGAGACCTCATCTGCACAGAGCTGGGTGGCCACACACACACACACACACTCTCTCTCTCTCTCTCTGCCAGAACGTTTCTTCCCACACAAGCTTTTATGGCATCCTGGTTTGTCTCAGAGGACACTTGCCATTTGAACCATAACTGTGACCGCTGACTTTATTTTGCCCTCTGACCTTTTAACCTTTGCCCTGTGTCCTGCAGGATATCCTACTGCACGGCGGACAAGCTGCATGACAAGGTGTTTGCCTACATCTCCCAGAACACCCTCAACGGAACACTGGAGTGCCACGCCTACCTCTGCTCCAAGAAGAAAGTGGTGAGTCTGAACTGGCACACAACAACCCCCTATCTGAAAGTACTGGACGGGGTGTAAGCAATATTCTTATGGCTCTACTTGGACCTCCTGTAGGCTAATTTCAGTTTTTAGTTATCTACACTGAACAAAAACATAAACGCAACATGTGAAGTCTTGGTCCCATGTTTCATGAGCTGAAAGAAAATATCCCAGAAATGTTCCATACGCACAAAAAGCTTATTTCTCTCATTTTGTGCACAACTTTGTTTACATCCCTGTTAGTGAGCATTTCTCCTTTGCCATGATAATCCATCCACCCGACAGGTGTGGCATATCAAGAAGCTGATTTAAACAGCATGATCATTACACAGGTGCACCTTGTGCTGGGGACAATAAAAGTGTCACACAACACAATGCCACAGATGTCTAGTTTTGAGGGAGCGTGCAATTAGCATGCTGACTGCAGGGATGTCCACCAGAGCTGTTGCCAGAGAATTGAATGTTTATTTCTCTACCATAAGCCGCCTCAACGTCATAAAAAAAAATAATGGCAGTACGTCCAACCGGCCTCACAAACGCAGACCACGTGTATGGCATCGTGTGGGCGAGCGGTTTGCTGATGTTAACGTTGTGAACCGAGTGCCCCATGGTGGCGGTGGGGTTATGGTATGGCTAGGCATAAGCTACGGACAACAAACACAATTGCATTTTATTGATGGAAATTTGAATGCACAGAGATACCATGACGAAGATCCTGAGGCCCATTTTTTTTTTAAGGTATCTGTGACCAACCGATGCATATCTGTATTCCCAGTCATGTGAAATCCATAAATTGGGTCCTAATTTATTTATTTCAATTGACTGATTTTCCTTATATGAACTAACAGTAAAATCTTTGAAGTTGTTGAATGTTGTGTTTTTTTAAATATATTTTTGTTCAGTATAGCTATCTTTCAGATCTGAACACTAAAGGGTAGGGGGATTGGCACAGAAATGAATCCTATGAAAACTACTGGGTGTGCAGAGTTTTGTTCCAGTCCTGCTCTAACACAGCTGACTCTACTAATCAGCTGCTCAACAGGAATCTGGTGTATTAAAGCAGGGCTGGAACAAAAGCCTGCCTTAAAATATGTTTGCTTCCAATATAACCCCTACATCTGACTGTGGCCTTCTCTCGTTCTCCCGGGGGAAACATAAGGAGGTCTGACTGTGGCCTTCTCGTTCTCCCGGGGGAAACGTTAGGAGGTCTGACTGTGGCCTTCTCTCGTTCCCCCGGGGGAAACATTAGGAGGTCTGACTGTGGCCTTCTCGTTCCCCCGGGGGAAACATTAGGAGGTCTGACTGTGGCCTTCTCTCGTTCCCCCGGGGGAAACATTAGGAGGTCTGACTGTGGCCTTCTCCCGGGGGAAACATTAGGAGGTCTGACTGTGGCCTTCTCTCGTTCCCCCGGGGGAAACATTAGGAGGTCTGACTGTGGCCTTCTCGTTCCCCCGGGGGAAACATTAGAAGGTCTGACTGTGGCCTTCTCTCGTTCTCCCGGGGGAAACATTAGGAGGTCTGACTGTGGCCTTCTCGTTCCCCCGGGGGAAACATTAGGAGGTCTGACTGTGGCCTTCTCTCGTTCTCCCGGGGGAAACATTAGGAGGTCTGACTGTGGCCTTCTCGTTCCCCCGGGGGAAACATTAGGAGGTCTGACTGTGGCCTTCTCGTTCCCCCGGGGGAAACATTAGGAGGTCTGACTGTGGCCTTCTCTCGTTCTCCCGGGGGAAACATTAGGAGGTCTGACTGTGGCCTTCTCGTTCCCCCGGGGGAAACATTAGGAGGTCTGACTGTGGCCTTCTCGTTCCCCCGGGGGAAACATTAGGAGGTTGCACTCCTCGTCCCCTTTTTGACTTCCTGTGTTGCTGGGAATCTGGAGGACACTTCCCTCCCTCAAGTCACCACGCCGTCTCTCGTATAACCCAATACTCTTTCGCAAGTCTCTCTCTCTCTCTCTCTCTCTCTCTCTCTCACTCACTCACTCACTCACTCACTCACTCACTCACTCACTCACTCACTCACTCACTCACTCACTCACTCACTCACTCACTCACTCACTCACTCACTCACTCACTCACTCACTCACTCACTCACTCACTCACTCACTCTCACACACACACAGAGAGAGAGATTGGATACTAATGACCTTTGACACAACGCTCTCCCAGCTGTGTGAATGTATCCACAGTGGTGCTTTTCTACTGACTGAGAGAAAATAATTTGTTAGTCAATCAAGGTTGACAAGGTCATTGAAAATAAACAATGTGTCAATGCATGGTCTTTAAACCTTTATCTCTCATTGGCCCCAAGGGTAGCTCCAATTACAGTGGCTTTGACTCTTAAAGGAGTAGTCCACTCAAACTATCTTTTTGGTGTTTTTTTTGGTCATTTGTCCACTGTTGAAAAAGTCCCAAAATGTTTCACACATCTCTCTGAGCAAATATTTTTTGGGTGTGTTTTTATTCAGATTAATAAATTGGGTGGTTCGAGCCCTGAATGCTGATTTGGCTGACAGCCGTGGTATATCAGACCATTTTATTCAGTTGTATAACTTGATTGCTCTGCTCAGTTTTGAATATTTGTTTGTTTGAGTCATTTATATAATGTGCCCTGTAGCCTCTGTGGTTTAGAGCGCTCGTACTCTAGAGCAGGGTTTCTCAAACTTGGTACCGGGGCCCCTCCTGGGTGCACGTTTTGGTTTTTGTCCTAGCACTACACAGCGGATTCAAATAATCAAAGCTTGATGATTTAATTGGTTATTTGAATCAGCTGTGTAGTGCTAGGGCAAAAACCAAAACGTGCACCCAGGAGGGGCCCCAGGACAGAGTTTGGGGAAATTCTGCTCTAGAGTAGTGATATTCAAACTTTTTCAGCAGGGACCCCATTATTATTTTTTTTTTACCCGCATTTCTAAGGACCCCATGTATTTCTTTTTTGGCCAGGAATTCTGCCCGACACCCACAACCAATCTAATGACACAACCTTCAAATCTGTAAATTTAGGTTTTCACATCAACAAATAACCTTCAAATCATTACAATTTCATCTCTCCTATCAAAATTAAATGAACCAATACATACATTTACTCAATACAATTATATCCCCCCCCCCCCCTCCCCCTTTGATTTCTAATGAAAAATTAATGTTGTGTCATTGGGGCTTCTAGCATCATTATAACAGCCAGTGTATTGTCTTTTTTTCTCCCTAGGCCCAGGCAGTGACTCTGACGGTAGCACAGGCCTTTAGAGTGGCCTTTGAGTTCTGGCAGGTTGCCAAAGAAAGTGTTCACCCCAGCTATTGTCCAGAAGGTGAGGACTGTACAGGTGGATCAAAGCTGAGACTGATAAACAGCTTCTATCTCAAGGCCGTCGGACTGTTAAATAGTCACCACTATCCAGCCCTCCACCTAGTACCTCGCCCTGAACTTTAGTCACTGTCATTAGCTGGCTACCACCCGGTTACTTTACAATGCATATTAGAGGCTGCTGCCCTATGTACATAGACATGGAACACTGGTCACTTTTAATAATGTTTACATACTGGTTTTACCCATTTCATATGTATATACTGTATTCTAGTCAAGTCCATTCTATTTAACTATTGCTGTACATATACTATTCTATACTACGTATTCTTCAGATATACATACATATTCTATCCATGTACAGTACCAGTTAAAAGTTTGGACACAGCTACTCATTCCAGGGTTTTTCTTTCTTTTTTTCTACATTGTAGAATAATAGTGAAGACATCAAAACTATGGGAATCATGTTGTAACCAAAAAAAAGTGTTTAGTGTTAAACAAATCAAAATATATTTGAGAGAATGCCAGGAGTGTGCAAAGGGTGGCTACTTTGAAGAATCTCAATTATTAAATATATTTTGGTTTAACACTTCTTTGGTTACTACATGATTCCATATGTGTTATTTCATAGTTTTGATGTCTTCACTATTATTCTACAATGTAGAAAATAGTAAAATAAAAAACCTTGAATGAGTAGGTGTTCTAAAACCTTTGACTGGTACTGTATTACTGTACATATGGACTCTGACATTGCTCGTCCTAATACCTTATAGGTTATTGTGTACTGTTCGATACTACTGCACTGTTGAAGCTAGGAACACAAGCGTTTCGCTACACCCGCAATAACATCTGCTAAATATGTGTTTGCGATTTGATTAAATGTTGCTATACAAACCCCATTACACACAACCCTGGAGAGACACACACACACACAACCATGGTGAGACACACACAGTCCTGGAGACGGACGGACAGGGACACACACACACACACACACACAACCCTGGAGACAGACACACACACGCCAAACACGCGTCACAGTTTAGCATTTCTATATGACATTTTATTTGTCACATGCCGCGAATACAACAGGTGTAGACTTTACCGTGAAATGCTTACTTACAAGCCCATTTCCCCGAAATGCAGAGTTAAAATGTAAAACATTTACAAAAGGGGGGAAAAAAAGAAAATAGTTAGTCCAGCGAGTGTGTGTGTGTGTGGGTGGAGTCCAGCGAGTGTGTGTGTGTGGGTGGAGTCCAGCGAGTGTGTGTGTGTGGGTGGAGTCCAGCGAGTGTGTGTGTGGGTGGGTGGAGTCCAGCGAGTGTGTGTGTGGGTGGGTGGAGTCCAGCGAGTGTGTGTGTGTGGGTGGGTGGAGTCCAGCGAGTGTGTGTGTGTGTGGGTGGGTGGAGTCCAGCGAGTGTGTGTGTGTGTGTGTGTGGGTGGAGTCCAGCGAGTGTGTGTGTGTGTGGGTGGAGTCCAGCGAGTGTGTGTGTGTGTGGGTGGAGTCCAGCGAGTGTGTGTGTGTGTGTGTGTGGGTGGAGTCCAGCGAGTGTGTGTGTGGGTGGAGTCCAGCGAGTGTGTGTGTGTGTGTGTGTGTGTGGGTGGAGTCCAGCGAGTGTGTGTGTGTGTGTGTGGGTGGAGTCCAGCGAGTGTGTGTGTGTGTGTGTGGGTGGAGTCCAGCGAGTGTGTGTGTGTGTGTGTGTGTGTGGGTGGAGTCCAGCGAGTGTGTGTGTGTGTGGGTGGAGTCCAGCGAGTGTGTGTGTGGGTGTATACAGCCGGTGCAAGAGTCAGTGCATTTTTATTTTTAAAGCCGGTCAATGCAAATAGTCTGAGTAGCCATTTGAATAACTGTTCAGCAGTCTTATGGCTTGGGGGTAGAAGCTGTTCAGTAGCTGTGTGTGTGTTGACGGTAATATTTTGTGTGTCTTGTAGAGAAGAGGGTGAAGTCCGGCTCGGCTGGAGAAGCAACCAGCAGCCTGGCTAGTCTGAAAGGACGAGGTAAGGGGGACACATGCAGAGTGTCACTGGGGCTGCGTTTACACAGCCAGCCCAATTCTGATCTCTTTTTTTTTAACCAATCCGATCAGCTCTGAAAAATATCAGAATTGGGCTGCCTGTGCAAACGCAGCCTCAGACACACACGCACTCAGCCTTTTATCCAATGCACATATTCAGAAGACACAAAATACCTTCTTTATTTCTAGTATAATGTGCATCAGATTTATGTTAAGATGAATGCACTAATTGTAAGTCTCTCTGGATAAGAGCGTCTGCTAAATGACTACAGTGTAAATCAGAGTAACACTTACTGAATGTTATTTAGCAATGAACGCTATGAAATGTCTTTCTGATTATCTTCTCTCTTCCTCCTACATTTGACATTTTAGTCATTTAGCAGACGCTCTTATCCAGAGTGAGTGCATACATTTTATTTTATTTTTCATAATGGCCCCTCCTACTGTGGCCTTGGTTGGATCCATGGGATTCAGGCCCGAGTCTTTGTGTGAGCTGTTGGAATCAAACTGTAAATACTCCAACATTTACTGATTGGCTGATTGTCTCCATAGATGTTGCCACGGGTAACCTGCTAGACCTGGAGGAACGGACTCATGTTGCTTTGGTTCTGGAAACCAATGGCAACGAGGAGTTCCAGGTGGACAACCGCACCGCTCCCGAGAACGTTGAAAACAACAACACTGTCTGGGTACGTCTCAATCCTCCATCAACCATTTCTCTCTGCACTTAGAATTAATGAGAGCCAATATTTGGGCTACAAAAACTCAATCTCTCTCTTGCAGGAAATTGAGGAAGACTTGGACGTGGCTTTTTCTAGGTAAGACAATCGTCCTAAATGTATCTGTTGTCAATAAGCTAGTCTCTTCTTGCTGCTGACTGACCACAGAAATCAGCTCATTGATTTGCTCAGATAAGATTTCCCTGAGAGTGATTGCAGCTTTTGGAGAATGTGATAGACTACAGCTCCGTCCAGAATGAGCCTGACTTACAGGTTAGAATAGACTACAGCTCCGTCCAGAATGAGCCAGACTTACAGGTTAGAATAGACTACAGCTCCGTCCAGAATGAGCCAGACTTACAGGTTAGAATAGACTACAGCTCCGTCCAGAATGAGCCTCAGACTTACAGGTTAGAATAGACTACAGCTCCGTCCAGAATGAGCCTGACTTACAGGTTAGAATAGACTACAGCTCCGTCCAGAATGAGCCTCAGACTTACAGGTTAGAATAGACTACAGCTCCGTCCAGAATGAGCCTGACTTACAGGTTAGAATAGACTACAGCTCCGTCCAGAATGAGCCTGACTTACAGGTTAGAATAGACTACAGCTCCGTCCAGAATGAGCCTGACTTACAGGTTAGAATAGACTACAGCTCTGTCCAGAATGAGCCTGACTTACAGGTTAGAATAGACTACAGCTCCGTCCAGAATGAGCCTGACTTACAGGTTAGAATAGACTACAGCTCCGTCCAGAATGAGCCTGACTTACAGGTTAGAATAGAAAGAGAGGTAGAGATCATCGAGAGAGCATGGTTGATTCGAGAATGCCTCAAATGTAAATTCTTGAATTTGAATTGAAGCAGAAAACAGGATCTAGAATTGCAATTAGAATTAAAGGAAATATGATTAAATTATAAATGCCTCTTATGATCTATATTAGGTGTAGTCTGTACAAATATATATATTTTACGTAAAACATCAAACATGTCGTTATATAAAATATTGTTGAAACAATAGATTTTTAGGACAAACTCTTAAAATGAATCAAGGAAAACAAAACCTGTATGCAAATGTTCTTAAATATTACATTTTAATTAATCGGTTACATTTATGTTCAATAAAGAAGCCAAACAAATGAAATGGTTTGGTGGAAATGTGTAATTGGCTATTGTAAGCACTAAGGTTTCAAGAGTATATGAACATTGTTTCCAGAGAGAAGTGATATTATTTGAAAGTACTTGGCCTTTACGCTGTGACTACATCCCCCCCCCCACCTCTCACCCATTCCGTATGAAAAATGTATGCACTCACTAACTGTAAGTCGCTCTGGATAAGAGCGTCTGCTAAATGACTAAAATGTAAATGTCACACTGTCCCCCCGTCCCCCCCCCCTCCTCCCTCCAGACTGGCGGTGTCCCGTACTAACCCCCAGGTCCTGGACATTGGGGTGACCCCCCAGGATTGGCTGACAGAACCTGACTGGGCCAATGGAAACACGTGCAACCAGAACACATCGAACAAGAACGCCACCAAAGGAGATGACTTCTTTGTCTTCTGAATGACCACTGGAGGGCGACCGAGAGGCACAGCTTTTTGGGTCTTTGGCCCAATCCCAAATCAACCCATAGGCCCTACGCTGGAGCTGTCATCCTCTCAGGTCTCCACAAGTGCATAGGACACAGGGTCTAGGGGTCGATTTGAGATTGGGCCATAGAAGAGTTGAAGAGTTCCATTCCAAACCGATCCCTTGCCTCTGTCCTTATTCCCTAGTTGACTCCCTCCCCCTTATAGATCTGAAAGGACTGCATAGGTTGAGAGCTTTGGCTGAGATTATGTCATATTGCTTAAGTTTCATCCAAGTTTTTATAGATCTACATGGGGCCGCCAGGAAGAGTCTATGGGTAGAGGCTAGGGATTTGATTTGGGACCCCCCCCCCCCCCACACACACAACAAAGCAATAATACAGCCTATAATTCCAGTGTACATTTTCTATCATACACACAATGTGTCAACCTACATTATTTAGTTTTGCTTACTTTGTTCTTTCATTTCTATGTACTATGTAGTAGTCTATAGTATTACTATTTGGACCATGGTAGTACTATTTGGACCATGGTAGTAGAAGCTGGTACTATTTGGACCATGGTAGTAGAAGCTGGTACTATTGGGACCATGGTAGTACTATTGGGACCATGGTAGTAGAAGCTGGTACTATTGGGACCATGGTAGTAGAAGCTGGTTACTATTTGGACCATGGTAGTAGAAGCTGGTACTATTTGGACCATGGTAGTAGAAGCTGGTACTATTTGGACCATGGTAGTACTATTGGGACCATGGTAGTAGAAGCTGGTACTATTGGGACCATGGTAGTAGAAGCTGGTACTATTTGGACCATGGTAGTAGAAGCTGGTACTATTTGGACCATGGTAGTACTATTTGGACCATGGTAGTACTATTTGGACCATGGTAGTAGAAGCTGGTACTATTTGGACCATGGTAGTACTATTTGGACCATGGTAGTAGAAGCTGGTACTATTTGGACCATGGTAGTACTATTTGGACCATGGTAGTAGAAGCTGGTACTATTTGGACCATTGTAGTACTATTTGGACCATGGTAGTAGAAGCTGGTACTATTTGGACCATGGCAGTACTATTTGGACCATGGTAGTACTATTTGGACCATGGTAGTAGAAGCTGGTACTATTTGGACCATGGTAGTACTATTTGGACCATGGTAGTACTATTTGGACCATGGTAGTAGAAGCTGGTACTATTTGGACCATGGTAGTACTATTTGGACCATAGCAGTACTATTTTGACCATAGTAGATGGTAGTACTATTTGGACCATGGTAGTACTATTTGGACCATAGCAGATAGTAGTACTATTTGGACCATGGTATAACTATTTGGACCATAGCAGTACTATTTTGACCATAGTAGATGGTAGTACTATTTGGACCATGGTAATACTATTTGGACCATGGTAATACTATTTAGACCATGGTAAATTTTAGTACTATTTGGACCATAGTAGAAGCTGTAACTATTTGGACCATTTTAGTACTATTTGGACCATACTAGATGGTAGTACTATTTGGACCATAGTAGATAGTAGTACTATTTGGACTGTAGCAGTACTATTTGGACCATAATCAGTATTATTTACCTATATGTATTTATTTTGTGTTGGTTATAATTTATAGTTTTTCTAATTAAAGATGGGATGTATGATTTCAGTCAGATTTATATTGAGATTTAGAGCTGAACTATTCTTCATCCGTCACATTAAGCTTTGGATTAGTCAGTCGGTACAGCAAAGCCTCAATACAGACCAAGCAAGACAATCAATTTTGGTACTCCCTACTTTCTATAGTTGTATAGGGGATGTATTCTTGACATACTAGAGTTTGGTTCAGTTGCCACAAAACAGCAGACTTCCTGTATTTTTTTCCAACTTGTTCAAAACTATTTATCCTGTTTGTGCCTACTTAACGTGACCTAGGAAAGTGATGTATTGAATTCCTTCCTACCATGGCCAGTTTCACCCTGTTCAGTAACCTATCTCGACCTGTCCAATGTGCCATGTAATACTATATACCAGCATAACTTTGAATAAAACATTTTAATAATGCAAATTAAATGAAATTGATGTTTGGTCTACTTCTAGGAAAGGATATTTACTGTTGCATAACACCCTCTGACAGAGGAGGGTGTTGCTGCCAGGGATTTCCAGAAATTACTGCTTTGAGTGTTCTGGAGTTCCTGCTAATTCCCTACCTATTCCAGGAATCCTCCAATCTGAATTTCTGGAAAACATGGGAATTTTGGGATAGTTGCTGGAATTTTGTAATCAAATTTTTACACGTGTTTAGCAGATGTTATAGCGGGTGTAGCGAAATGCTTGTGCTTCTAGCTCCGACAGTGCAGTAATATCTAACAGGTTATATCTAACAATTTCACAACATATACCCAATACACACATCTATGTAAGGAATGGAATTTAAGAGTATATACATATATGGATGAGCAATGGCAGAGCGGCATGGACTAAGATACAGTAGAATATTATAGAATACAGTATATACATGAGTAATGCAAGATATGTAAACATTATTAAAGTGACTAGTGTTCCATTTCTTAAAGTGCACAGTGATTTCAATAGGCAGCAGCAACCTCTAATGTGCTAGTGATGGCTATTTAACAGTCTGATGGCCTTGAGATAGAAGCTGTTTTTCATACTCTCGGTCCCAGCTTTGATGCACCTGTACTGACCTCGCCTTCTGGATGATAGCAGGGGTGAACAGGCAGTGGCTCGGGTGGTTGATGTCCACAGTCCTCAGTGGTTTCCTCTCTTCTTCTCTCCTCCATCACTGAACTGACAACAGTAGCATGATATAATGCGTGCCCACTGGGAATTATTTTGAACAAAAATATAAATGCAACATGCAACCATTTCAAAGGTTTTATTTACTGAGTTACAGTTCATATAAGGAAATCAGTCAATTAAAAAAAAAAAATTAGGCCCTAATCTATGGATTTCACATGACTGGGCAGGGGTGCAGCCATTGGTGGGCCTTGGAGGGCATAGGCTCACCCACTTGGCAGCCAGGCCCAGATAATCAGAATGAGTTTTTCCCCACAAAAGGGCTTTCTTACAGACAGACATACTCCAATTTCCACATTATTTATTACAAGATTTAGTTGAGGTTTAGGGTTTAGTGAATGATTTGTCCCAAATACAATACTTTTAGTTTTTGAAATATTTGGGACTAACTTATTCCTTAACATCCATTCTGAAACTAACTGCAGCTCTTTGATAAGTGTTACAGTTATTTCAGTTGCTGTATTAGCTGACGTGTATAGTGTTGAGTCATCCGCATACATAGACACACTTGCTTTACCCAGCAGCAGACTATGATCGATAACGTCGAAAGCCGCACTGAAGTCTAACAAAACAGCCCCCACAATCTTTTTATCATCGATTTCTCTCAGCCAATCATCAGTCATTTGTGTAAGTGCTGTGCTTGTTGAATGTCGCTGAAAGTCTCTTGTCAACTTGTTTACTGAAAAATAGCATTTTATTTGGTCAAACAATTTTTTTCAAAAGTTTACTAAGGGTTGGTAACAGGTTGATTGGTCGGCTATTTGAGCCAGTAAAGGGGGCTTTACTATTCTTGAGTAGCTGAATGACTTTTGCTTCCCTCCAGGCCTGAGGGCACACACTTTCTAGTAGGCTTAAATTGAAGATATGGCAAATAGGAGTGGCAATATCGTATGCTATTATCCTTCAAGAGAAAAATGAAAACTAACTGCAGTATGTTCAATACATTAGGACTAATTCATTAATGGTTGGAATACACTGTGTATGTAGGAGTCCCTGGAGTTGGATACGTTTAAATGACCAAAGAAATCCATAACTCAATTTTCCTATCTAATGCATGGCAAATGCACTTTATGTAGAACGTATTGAATGAGTGAGATGATGGAATGAAACAACATTGATTTGACATAGCGCCTTCCTCTAGACATTCTGACAACATAGGGCTGTGGTGAAATGATGGAGGGAGAGAAAAACAGGGAGATTTAGAGAGAGGAGGTTAAAGACTTCAAGGAGCGATGGAGCAGACAGAGGAATGAAAGCACACAGGCTTAGGGTCTCACTGATGCCTTGTCTGATCTCCACTTGAGTGACGGACAGGCAGAGAATATTAAGCTTTCCTTCCTAGGCATTTAAAGTAACTGTCCAGTGAAAATCTAACTTAAAAAAAACTCTTAATCTGTTAACTCAGACCCACATAATGTTGTTGACTCGTCATATACAGATATAGGATCTTAATTTGATCACCCTGTTGCAGTAGAACTTTCCTACAATGCAGGGAATTTAAAACTTTTAGTGTGTTTGAGGTTTAAAAAGGCTTCTGAAGTTTGTAACTTCCACTTTGAAATTTCAGACTTGATTTTCCCTTACAAAAAATGTATTAACCCCTACAAAAATGTCCATAAATTGTAATCCACAAGATAATTCACATTTTCCTGCTGTAGTAAATTGGCTCAAAGTAAGATCCTACATCTGTATTTGTGGCTAAAGCATACATTTGAGAAAAAACACTTAAAAACCCCCACCTCAAACTTGATCTCAAACCGTTAAAAAAATGCTTGCTATTTCCTCATGGAGGATGACGTCATGTTTTTGTCCAAGACATCTTATTGGCTCATTGGCTGAGCTGGCCAACCAGCTGTTTACTTGTCATTCATATTTTTATTGACCGGTATACGCCCACACCATTCAAACACAGAACAGTGTTTTTTAAATATATTTTTGGAAGGAAAACTATTTCACTTATAATGGAAATAATTATACATCATATGTCATAGAAATCTGGAAAAATTCCAAGGATCGTTGTTGCCTCATTTGAATATATATAAACCTTTTGTCTTCATTTTCATATTTTGTGAAAGTTCATTTTCATTAGTGTCATTGAGATTTTCCATTATCACTTGTGTTAATTTGAAGTGAACTGTGTAATCTCAGTGGTTTAATGTAATTTGCTTC